CTTCATTCAGAAATAGAGAACATAGATCAGAAACATCATACCACTGACTCCACCTTTTCTCTTTTCCCCCCTTTTCTCCCGTTACCTTGGTGTGAAAACCCTCCAGCCCGGTGGTGGAGGATAATGAGTCAGCCAATCCAGTCCAACCCCAAAACATTTACATATCTTGCATCACACAAAATAGCGTGTGCATGTGAGTGTGTGGGTTTGGCTGTTATTAATACGCACTGTGAGACTGAAAGAGAGAAGGAGAGCCACCGGGAGTTTTTCTGCCCTACTTTTAAAGATGAAGAGTTTGGAGGAACAGGATGTGCTCACCAATTTCACTTTCAAGTACATGACATAATCTCAATGAATGACATAAGAGGTGTAGGCTATGATGTCACCTTTTTGTTTTTACTGATGCACCAAGTATGACGAAGTGTTTTTAACCTACAAAACCCCAAATCATCTATTTCTAATAAGTGCTCGAGGATGTCTTTGTGGCATCCTCCCTGCCCCATCCACCTCTTCCTTTGCAGTCCACCTATCACTATCCACCAAGGACGACCTAAATATAGCCTGGTTGAAAATCCCCACTGTTCTGCAAAACCAAACACCATGCAGGTATTACCACACACACACAAAATCCTTTCACTTCATTTTTATGGGTCCAAAGATGTACATCAATGGCTGACTGGGTGTCTCTCCCTTTTTCTAAGAAACTGAGCAAAAATACAAAAGGTGAGACATAGCACAGTGACTAACATGTGTTCAATAGCCTTTAATGCAGCCTTGTTTCTTGATTCTGTTTGTTTCTAGTCTAAGACATATGAGCTCTGAAGGAATGTCTTTGGCTAGTTAAAACTATATCCTCAGCAGGGCTGGCAGAGCAACAGCTCTGGTATGCCGGGAAAAGAAGGTTACGAGCCAACAACCCTCCTTCCATGTTTTCTTCTTCCACAGTGAATGGAGCTTTGAGAGGACCAATGTGACATGGCTGAAAGGGTTTCTCAGACAAAGTCTTCACTGTGTAGATGAAGGGAAGGGCTGAAATAAGGAAAAGACGGGCTTTAAGAAAACACCCTCAAGAGAGAGATGAGAAATGCCATGGGGCATAATAAAAAAAACTGGGAAGGTTACTGTGCAGGTTTGTGTGTGTGTGTGTGTGTGTGTGTGTGTGTGTGTGTCTCTGTAGTGACCAGCACACCACCCCACACATCTGCACTGTGATAACAACAGGCTCCACACTTCATGCAAATATTTAAGCCCCGATAATGTTGTGAGAGAACTACCAGAGAGTTGACATGCAGGGTTGACGTTGCTCACAAACAAACAGCATTCGAAAATGCTACTTTTCCTGTTGGGAAATGGTTTTCAGAGGAGCTCTGGTCTCAAGAGCATTCACCTTGTGTTCTGCAAACATGGCCCCTTTCAATAGTTTCTAAGTCTACATAGGTTTCCAATGTTACAACAAAAAAGGGGATTAAGTAGAGAGAGTAGAAATGTTTGATATTTCATAAACTGTTTGAAACATTAATTGATTCCTGATTCCAGCATGCAAACTTTGAGAAACTATTCTTCTATTTAATACCAGTAAGAATGCACATATGGGACAGAATGAACAATGGGGACCTCACTTTGGATGTTTTCATTCATTGATAACATCTTACAGCCTTAGCAATTCATTCACGCGTCCAATTTTTTAACCATGTTAACTAGATTCTTGCATACTAACAAGAAGTCAATTGTTTAAAAAAACAGAACATACTTGGGATTTTCTGTAACGATCCCACCTCATGTGCTTATGAACTGTAAACTAGACCAACAACCCAAACATATTTCTTTTCATTGTTTGTGATAACTATAGATGTTGATGTCACTAAGGTGTTCTTTTTAATCCAAATAGTGATTCTGATACCTTTACTTCAGCCAAAACAGAATGCCTCCCAGATACTAGTGTTATCAAAAACAGATTACACAAAAGTGATAAATCTGATTGTGCAGGCTTTGTGTAATATTGAGCTCTGCATGCTGTTTGTTAAAGTCACACAACAAGCTGCCTACAACCAATTTGATTTTTTGGGGCTAACTGGTTACGGCATTGGATCGGTGCGTTGACTGACATTTTCAGAAGTATTGGAGGTTGTAGACTATCAGAACAGATCATCAATAGATGCTTCCAGCATGTCATGTCTTAAATATGACAACTACATTGTTTTGTGTTGTAAAGTATTTACTGCGTATTGTACTGCGACATGTTTTGTGTTACACTGTGATTCCCACACCTAATCTGTATGTATGTAGATATAGTTTATATACAGTTAGAGGTGCATGTCTTGTTTAACAGAGATTAGGAAAAAGGAAATAAGAGGACCACCAAACCCAGTGTGTCAGAGGACTGGAACCACTGGTACTACTGACAGCATGACTCCCCGAGAGCTTTAATTAAATATTAATCTGGTGTCTGACTCTGTCTGTAATCCCAACCGCTCAATCCCTGAGACATAATCTCAGACCAGAGACACCCAGAGCTGGGATTAAGGAGGCAACCATTACTCCCTGGCTTCTTCCTGCCTTCACTGGCCCAACAGCTCAGCACGGAGAGACGACAAATCAGATCATGAGAGGAGAGATGAACAAGCCACTGACAGGATACAATCTAAATACTGTACAGATTTATATAACTGTAATGCACTGGATTCATAAAGCTTTGTGACTGTGTCTGTTACACTTTATTTGTGCATGTATCACTGAAGTAGCACCCGACATGGGCCAGATTTGTAAGAGAAGCAGTCATAGACTGACACTTATCATGTTGACATGGTGCTAATATGCTTATTTTTTATGCACCATTAGGGCCTTAATCTACAAATTGCTCTCAGCTGTGTGTATTTATGCATATGTGGAGTGGGGGGCTGCTGTATACTAGCAGTGACTTGTTGAAAATCAAATCCCAGCAAACCCCCACGAGGAGCAATAAAGATTTAGGAAACAGCAGAACCACAGCCAAAAGGCAGCAGGAGGAACACATTCAGAGGATTACACAACAACACATAGCAGACTATGAGACAGGGACCTCTGGCTTTAGATTGACAGAATCCACTGTTGGGGCAAGGCCACATCACAACCGTCCCTGCGAGCTCTCCATGTCCCAAGGGGGGTGAGAAGAACTGAATCTCTGTTTCTATAAGCTTCAGATACAACAAAGCAAACACACATACAGAGAGGGGGATAAATGAAAGACAGACGGAGGTACGAGGCATACAGCAAGACAAAGCTGCAGAGTGATGGTTGTTTATGGCTGCAAGGCCTCCGTCTCTCCCTCCCTGTCATTTGCTGGGTGTAGTTGAAAGAAGAGCGTGTGTGTGTGTGTGTGCCATTTTCTATTCAGGCAGTTTTGGTTTTGTTTCTTCCCACAAAAATACCCTGACATGCCTAAATTTGTATCGCTTGTAACAAATGTCCTGGTGACCCCCCGGGACTGTACACCACGATCACCTCGGATCGTTTTCCAAGAAAAGAAAAGAAAAGCAGAAAAAGGTTTCCAGAGGACAGATGCTTGGCATGGTTGAAACTACAACTAATTAGCTTGATCCATAAAAAGGACTAACGTGGACAAAAAAACCCTTAAAACTCATGACTGCGTGTGTGTTTCACTGTGTGTGTGTGTGTGAATAGTGTTCTAGTAATCTCTGCTCTCGCTCCACTGAGTTCTTGCTGATAGCACACTAAATCAGACAGCTCCACAGTGCTGGACAAACTCTCGCTCTTTTCCCCTATCCCTCACTCGGCTCTCTCTCCCATCGCTTTCGTTCTAGCCCTCCATCGCTCCTCATCACTCTGCCTCCCTCCACCTCTCCTCCAGCTCTTTCCACTATTTTTCTCATCCTAGAGTCCAACCACTTTTTTTTATCATTTCCTTTCTATTTTTCTCAATTTTCCATCAGCTCTATTCCTCTTTTTTATTTTTGTATTGGCCCATTTCATTCCATACTTCTCTTTATTTGCTTCATCTCATACTTTACTCTGCAGCACAGTCAGAGATCTGCTGACACAATGCCAGCTCAGCATGCACCGCAGACACACACACACATACTCTAACATAGCAAGCATGCATGTGCCGTTATGTGTGCAGAAAAATTTACGGCCACACAAATCTCTGGTGTGTGATTGGTGTATACGTAAGTGCCAGATTAAACACATATCCAGTGTGCCAGTTGAAATTGGCTTTGTCTGCACTCTCTTTGTCCCGGGGCTGCACAGGTGGGAGTGATGTCATCAGAGCAAGCCAGAATTTATAGTCAGGTATGTGACTCCAGAGATACGAGGCACAGTTAATCTAAGCAGATTTAAAAGGCAAGAAGTATAAACCCTCAGATGTATCATCTTAAAAAATTGCTGCATTCACTGTAAGGAACTACTTACCGTCTCATTCTGACTTTCTGACCTTCTCTTCTGAAGCAAGGCAGCTAAATTGGTTCTCATGGACTAACAATTAAAGTTTGATTTTTACAGATTGTTTTCAATGCACCACTGAATTCAACCATCTCTGCCAGGAGAGGTTACAAATCAATGAGAGGGAGAGAACTCTGCGGGCAAAGCTGGAAGGACAAGATAATGGGCTTTTCCATTAAAGGATTTTTGGCTTTGTCTGCGTGAAAATGTCCTTCCCTGTCATACTGGCTCACTCACAAAGTCACATGCACACTTATCTTTTGTATAACAACACACTGCCACTAGTATGGTAGAGTAAAGCCACGGGACACTTCATAGAACAGTCTGAAATATTACCAGAAAGGACATACAGAGTCAGACAAGTAACAGATAAATAAATTCTAAAAGATAATCTGTTGCCCTCTATTAAAAAGGAAAATCACTTAAGACCGAAACAAGTGTGTTGTCTATGTGCATTTCTACATTCACTCATATGAAAGTATCAGCTGCTAAGTAACAGTGGTCTGAATGATAAATAAAGCCTACACAGATGTATTCGTAGTTGGGAAACAGCAACAACTTACTTTGACACTTGAGTGCCTGTGCGGTAATCTGGCGGCTGCAGGCGTCACACCAGTCCTGCGTAACAGGCTTGGCCTCGAACCGATGTCCTTCTCCTCTCTCGGTCCTCACTCTGGGGTCCAAACACCTGGGGAAGATGGACCAGGCCTCCCGGCGGTGAGGCTCTGTGCGAGCCAGCCTGACGACTCCAGTCTTGCCCTGAGTGAGCCTGTCCAGCTGAAGACTGCCGCTGTCTGCTCTCCCGTGTGGCGCGTCCCGGTGCCGGTGCGCTCCAGATCCCCCTGTCATGACGTTGATGCAAGACCTCTTGAGCGAAGTCCCCCTGCGTCCCCCTGTGTTGTGGTTCAAGTCCCCGCTGATGTTGCTGTTGCAGTCATTCGAGATGTCACCGGTTCGACTCTCTGGAGCGGTCCACCTGTCGCAGTCCGTGCTACCCTGCTCTCTGTCCCGGCCCGGGCTACGTGGCGCAGAAGGGGCGGCCGGAGCAGCGCATCTTTCCCCGGGCATCTTCCCTCCTTTTGCCGCCGTCTCTCCCTCCAGTCCCGGAGACGAGGGTTGAGTCCCAGCTGCTCCTTCAGCAGCGACCGACACACACTCCCCACTGACCCCCGAGCTTCTTCTGAACATCATCTTCTCCCAGGACGGCTTCCTCGGCAGGGTGATTTTCTTTCTGCCGGGCAGCTTGAAGAGCAGCAGCTGAGGTTCCGAGTCCAGTCTGTGCGGACCCGGGTGCTGCCCCACCACACTCGCAGACGCCATTATCCTGTCCTCCTGTAATGCGTGTGTGTTTGGGTTGTTAAAGAGTGTGTAATAGTGCGTGTTTTCACTCCGTGCCCTGAATGTAAACTCAACTCACGCCCGCGACATCGTGTAGTAGTGACGTAAGAGATCGGACGGGGGCGCGCCTGCTTTAAAGCGAGAGGGAGCGCGCGTTGATCCCTGTTTCGTCCTGTAGATTTGATTTGGCATTACTGAAGTATTAACCTCTGATTCACTGCTCAACAAGACTTTACGTCCTGATGAATCACACAAACAATCCTGTAAATGTTAGCTGTTCATTACAACTTCTAGTACCAGGACTTTATGTTACTTAATTCAACTGAAACCACTTTTACTAAAAAACAAAGAAAGAAAGCTACTACAGGACAATGATTTGGCACATGGTTCCTGTTTTTGACAAAGGAGGTCACCCATTAAAGAAACAAATTCTTAATTACTTTTTTATTTATTGGTAAATTGAGAAGAATGGTTGTGTCACTGTTGACAACTGCATTATTATCTCAACTACAAGAAGCATAACAAATCCCTTGTCATGATCATGACTGTATGAAACAGGACTAACACTGACAGATTTCTACAGTGCAGTGGGAAAGGTCGAGTAATACAAACTATTATTTCATATTTGTTTGTGAAGGCTAAGAGGAGAAAAGTTATCAAATTTTCCACTTGGCCGAGAGCACATCTTATGATCAGTAAAGGAACAACTGAGGCAGTTGCAGTCGTCACCCTTACCAAACCAAGAAAGCCCCGGGGGACACCCACAAAACTCCTACGCAGTTTGAGTGAGAAAATTTCACTTCTGTACTTTCTAGTGTCACAACCAGTCACTTGTTTTTGGATTTGTTTTCAACCTTTTATCACCCTGGCCCAGATACACATACCCACACAAGTTAAATTTAAAGTAATTTGAATAAATATTATGAGAGTACTGTTATACGAGTCATGCATGAAGTGTTTGTCTTTTTCACAGGAGTTATGCTGCAACTGTAAACTTAGAAATTAAGACATGACATGTTTTTCTACTTTCACTTTCAGCCTTTAATATCATTTTATTAATCATCTGAAATAATATAATTTCTTAAGGCAAATACAAAAAAGAGAAATGTCCATATTTTCCAGTACATTGAATGCATAGTAAACTACCTTTCTAACCTCATATAAACTGTGACCCTTTAATAAACATATTCAAAAAACCCTGGGATTCCCTACCCTTTGTTTTTTTTTTCAAAGTTTAATGTCATCTCACACTGTAAATTTGCCTCACTGTCATTGAACTGTGATTACTTCTGTTTAAATGGAGGCACTGTGGTGAGTGCTGAGACTCCCTGATTGTGTTACTTCTCTTTACCAGTGAAACATACAAGAAAACAAAGCTATAACTTATCATACAACTTAAACATCAACAGTGTGAGAGAAAATCTAAACTAAAGTGCCTTGTGACTATCAATGATGTGATCAATCCTTTAAAGTTACAATGATAAACTTCAAGCCAACCTAGATATGAAGTCACATGAAACCTTTATTTTATGATCAAAAAGACAGCAGGGGAATCCTTAGTTTTCCTTAACAAACACACAGACATAAGACATCCATTCCCACAGAGAGATACACAGTGAGTCCTTTTAAATTAATCATTTAAAGGAGCAATATGTTAACACATGTAGTGTTTTCCATGTCGCAGGCACGGCAGCTCAAACCTCTCTCCATTTTTCAAGCGCATCAATATTTATCCTATAGCTTTGTCACATTTCTGGATGGGGATCTGATTAGAAAAATGCCAAGGCTTTTTAGGTCAGGTAGAATCAGTTATATCTGAACCTGTTGGCTTGCCCGCTTCCGCAAGCAAGTATTTCAACATAGCAAGTTTCCTTAATGTCTGATGATATAGGTCATTTTATGAATGAATTCAGTCGATATCTTACATATTGCTCCTTTAAAGCGTCTCCAGGTTTCTCTCTCTCTATGGAACAAAGAACAAACTCTGCATCAGATTAACACATGGCAGCTGACTTCACATTTATCCTGACAATCCATCACTGTTGCAGCCCATTATAACTGTAACACTAAAGGATTCAATGAGGTTTATATTGAACTGCTTGTCTCTGATGCCACACACACCCACACACTGAATAAAGAAAACCCATTAATAGCGTTTCCTCCTTCTTCATCCTGTGCATCTTATCTCTAAACTGAGATTCACATTTAATTGATTGTCTTTGGCTGCTTCCTCTTCATGCAGCGCTTGCACACACAGTGCTGTAGCCGGTCCTACATGTCGTACTTTTGTCACAGCGTAGATGGTCTGCTCAAGCTTGGATCCAAAGCTGCTGTAGAGTTCACTGCTCCCAAACTACAGAACAAAAACAAAAACAAAGTAATAATCCAAATGTCCTTACTACCAAATGAATATCTAGTTGACAGGGAGAAACTGACCTCTCTATAACGCTGTTGTTAAACTGTAGTTCCTGCACCAAAATCTCCATTTCCTCCTTTAGATGGTGCATCCTTGAACAAAGAAAGACATGTTATCATGGCAACAGGTAGACTGACTCTATCTTTCATGGCCACACATAAAGACACACACCTGAAGACCATCTGGTCCTTGTCTCTGGGTGCAACTGTGGACTGTTGTGCTCCTCTGCCGGGCTTAAGACCGGATAATATTCTGTCCAGAGCCTGAGGACAAATGAGACGTTACATCATCAATATGCTGAGATGCAACATGAGTGACATCACTGAGTTGTCCACTTAAAAAGCTCTAACAAATCCAAAAAAAACTCAATTCACATGTAACCATCAGTCAATCATACATGTGTACACTGTTAAGTAACAATCTGATCCAAAAGTGAAATGTTGACCTTATTCTGACGCTGATTATTCATCTCCAGGTCTGCCAACAAGCCTGTGGAGAAAGAGCCAAAGTCTTGCAAGCGGGTCTGCTTTTCCAGTAACACACTGAAAAGTAAGGTAAAATAAAGACACACTTTAATAATTCAAAGTGGACATCTTTACAATATACCAATACCTGCTGGACAGTGGATACTATAGGATACCAGGATAAGGAAAAGTGCAGAGGGTCAGAATCGAATCTGGACCACCTGCTCCGAGGACTATCCTTAAATCCTTAAAAGGCTTTATATGTGATTTTTTTGATCCAGCAGATGTCGCCCTTGAGCACCTGCATGAAACCAAAACAACTCACGCTGCATTGTTGTGTTAGCATGCTAATGCTAGCGATCTTTATTATGCTCGTATCTTCACACTGCATGTAAATTTACCTGAAATGAGCGTGATCTAGAAACACAGTTAAGCAGTGAGTACAGTATGTTATTCTTCTTTTCTCTAGTCCCTCAATTAATCAACTTTTATACGTGAGGGGAGGAGTCAGCCGGCCGTCCCAACGATGTAAACAAAGTGAAGATAGGACTCTGAAAACTCTGAAAGCATCACAGACAGTGGGACTCGGGTGTTACACCCATTGTAGACAGTCATGACTCACAGAGTTATTTTCAGAGGATATAAATGATTTCTATTATATTTAAGTGTGAAAAATCACATAGAAAGCCAATCATGGAGTGCTTGGGATAATTGCAAGGCTACCCAGCCCCACTCAATATGCAAATTAAAACTCAGATACAACATGAAAAGTAAAAACTTGATAGAAAAAAATTGAACAGGAAATGGAGCTATAGAGCGAAGTGTAAGACAAGTTAAAACTTTATATAATTTAATAACCTAGCACTAAAAGATAAAGCAAACTCCAAACTGATTCTGCTCAATAACAGTGCCCTATTGTCTTCCTTTAAATAGTCATCAATGATTGGGCTGAAGCAGCTGATGTTAATCTGCTCCAAAGTTCACCTATGTTTGTAAAATAAATAAAGCAACTTGAGTCTGTTCTGACCTGCTCCACGTCCTGGCTGAGGCCAGAAGCTCTTTGTATCTCTGTACACAGTCGTCTCTAAAGAGAGATTTCACTCTCTTAATGTGGGTTGACAGGTGGATTCTGGGAAAAAGAGCAACAATCACATTACAGGAATAACAACTTCACACACTGGGCGAGCAGCGCAGCAGCTGTGTGGACACATACTCACTTTTCAAACTTGTGGATTTGCTCATCATTATAAGACAACTCTGTGGTAAAAATGAGAAAAATATAAAAGGTCCTGTCAACTAATCCCAGAACAAAAGGGCTGAATGTGTTTCCAATTTCAATGGTAAACATACATACTGCCAATTAGTTTGTCTTTGCGATAGTGCTGGTGAATCACTGTTATCTTCTGCAGCAGCATCTCCATCTTCTGGCAGCTGTGAGAGATAAGAGGTCAGAGGTCAAACACCACACGTTCATGAGGCCTCCCTGAAGCTTGAATCCCAGATTACCTCTTGTCATTGGCGAGCGTCTCTGCTAGTTTGGCCTGCTCTATCTGCAGATGGTCCAGTCGGTTCTGAAACTCTTGGATGCCAGTGGCGTATATGGGCAGGTGCTGGTGGACCTGCAGAGACAACAGACACACACTCTGATAGCTGAATCAGGTAAAGTCTAATGGTTAGAATAGTTCACATTCTAACATAGACAAGTCCAGGTTTTCCATGTCTGGAAATTGGTTTAATAGCTGGAGAGGTGCCAGTTCACTTCTGGAAAACTGCTGAGGTACCATTGAGCAAGGCACCAATCCCTTGCCCCCCAACACAACACAACACTAATGTGTGAGTGAGTATGTGTATTCATGTATGTGTGAGGGTGGGTATATGTATGTGAGTAAGTGCATGTATATATATGTATTTAGAGACATATATAAACAGGCAGGAATTTATAAAATACTGTATTTTCTAACTAAAAATGTATACAGGTAAAACAAATGCACTTTAAATGTGGAACATTTACAACATATCATGTCACAAGGAGGTTTACACCAGAACAACCCTTTTAAATATTTGTGAATATTTTGCATGTGGTCCTATGTTATCTATGGTACCAATAAGGGGCTTGTCAGTCCATAGTCTATTTCTGACAACATGAACATATTCTGGGACAACAAGGATGCATGAATTGTATTCTTCATTTTTGTTGTTGTTTTTTATTTTATTTATTATTTTTATTAATCAATTATTATTGATTGATATGTATGTATATGTGTATAGGTTTGTGTGGATATATGTATGTACGAAACTGGGAACATGCGTGGGGGGAGGTGGGAACTTGCAGGCAGGCTTGGGAACATATAGCTTCTGAATAATTTATGTTTAGAATTTTTTTTCCCCCATTGCCTGTTTCCGTTTTATTTTTTTAAAAACCCTTCAATAAAAAAAAAAAAAAAAGGAACAACACTAATGTGTCTTTAAATTGCTAATTTCTCAGACAGCTCAGTCCACAGGTCAAAAGTAATACTGATCTCAAGACATAAAACATTTCACTTTTTTACCGTTCCCTTTAGCCGTTTCTTTTTCCGTGATTAAGTTAATGTCGTAACCTTCCATCTATCAGAAGGGTCCTTATTTTATTTCAAAATAAAAGCTGGGTTAAATTCAAATAGCAGCTTACGTATTCTGGCCATCATACCTGTCGAAATTGCTCACATTCTTCCCAGTGATCAGTCATTCTCAAACATAAATTCCTAAACTTAGAATTATGCCATAAAAATATGTAAAAAGTCTTATTCCTGACATCCTTTCCATTACTAACATCGACCAAACCAGGCCGTGTGATGCTTCATCCTGACGTCACTCACCAGCTGCAGCTTTTCGTTGCCATCACCTGAACCTTGGTTTTCTGAAGTGTGTTGGCCCCTTAAAAAATAAAGTCACAACAGATATTGGAGGAGAGGTAAAGAAAGGGGAGGTTACAAAAGTTGCATGTTTAACAATATTGGTTATTCATACTAGGAATATAAAACCTACATAACACTCTGGATAATGCAAGACAAAAAATGACAACTCAATTTTTTCCCAACTGCTGTGTATCAAAAGGTTTGTCATGAAAACATAGAGCTGTGACTAATATCCAAAGTACATCAACTCACAGTGTGTGAAGCCTGTGTTCTACGCTGAGGCAGGACTGAAGTCTAACAGTGATCATGGCAATACTGTGCATCGCTTCTCCACACTCCCTGCGCAGCCTCATCCTGAGGAAGAACAGAGGAGGACATGGAGGAGAAAACATTTGACAAGGGTCATCACCTAGAGTTACATTACTCAGTGAAATGAAGCAAATGATCCTCATTTTAGCACGTGCGAGTCTCACATGTAGCTGTAGTATCCTTGAAGGAGTAGCTCTCTATGTGAGTGCAGCAACTTTACCATCCTGAGATACTGGTGGACCACTCCCACCGTTACCTACAGAGAAGGGAATGGTTAGAAGGGGGAAATAATGTGTTAAATAATGTGTTGGGAGACATTGAATAAATCAATTCACCTTAGTGAAGTGATAGTCTGCCACAACATCAAACTTGGATGGGATGACAGGAGTCTCTGCTACAAAGAAAAGCAAAAAAAACTGTTGCATTTATAGAAATATTCATCAACAGACTTGTGCAAAGCCACTAACTGACAAAGATATTTGTTTGAGTAGGTGTGATGCTGGAATACACCTCATATCGACTCTTTTATATCTCCCTTGGGGGAGAAAGCAAAGAATAAAGAAGAGGAATCCTGAGGACTTCACAGGAACATTTCAAAGGCGTTCATTGTCTTTGATTGTCTTACGTTCTCTGAAGGGAAGGCTGGGGTTTGCTTCAGGCCCGCAGCTGAGCAGAATCAGAGGCTGGGCTCTTGAAGTACTCGGGAGGTTGACCACCTTCATGTTGCCTTCCAGAGGGAGGTCGTGACCCAGGTACAGTAGATGTTGCAGCTGTACTCCAATACCAGTCTGAGAGGCAACCTCCTCAAAGAATACTGACACCCTGAGAGGATTAAGAGAAGAGAGGATCTCTGGCATCCAGACCACTTTTTTAAAATCCTTTATCACATTCAAATAAAGGAATAAACCTAGTTTTCTGCACATGGGCTTGTTGGTGTAATTATCTACTGAACGAGTCACGTCGTCTCGTCAGCCCGACTTCTGAATAAAATAACAACCTCCCACTTTGTACCACCTCAATTACATGTGATTCACTTTGTGAAGTCCTACTCTTGAGTCATGCTGTGAAGTAAACAACATGCTGAGTAGGCAGGCACATTCAAAGGTCGCTTCAGGAAAGTACAATTTGCATAGCAGCACAATATAACATTCTGTATGCAGACATGGAAACAAAACACTTAACACTTAAAATTTTGAATATCTGGGTGAAATTCCACAGTTTGAAGTTCTTATCTTATCTGCAAGTTTAAGTGAATCTGGAATTATGTTGCACCTGCAGATCAGACTAGATATCAGCTTAAAGGTGCACTATGTAGATTTGGTAGTGAAATTGGAAAGTTGGAGAAGTGAAACAATTATATGCTATATTTTCTAAACTAAACACACAAATTTTCCTCTGAGGACAGTTTGTGTATAGAGTTATGAACACGTACCACAGACAGAATCTGTAAACTTTCACATTTCTCTACCAAAACTCCACAGTGCACCTTAAAAATTGATGGACATGTTTCTAATTTCAGTCCAAATGTCATCCTTTTGTCTGTAGAACAGTGCTTCCCAAAGTGTGGGCAGCGGTCCCCTGGTGGGCCGTGTGGGTACTGCAGGTGGGCCGCAAAAAGTCCTCCACCAATTTTAAAAAGAAAAGAAATATCACAATAATGATGATTAACCATGAGTCAACCCCTTAAGTGATTAGTAAGGCATCTCATGACTATTCATGGACATATTGTTTAGTAAACCTTTGTGTCTATCTTGCCATAATATCATTTTGTCATGTCCAATAATTTACCATTACTAAAAGTTAGAGCTGTAGTCATAAAAAAAATGTATAATGGGCCCAGGAGTAATTTTGTATTTCAAAGCGGGCCGCGGCAGTCTTTAAGTTTGGGAAAGGCTGCTGTAGAGAGTTGGACTGTTTTGCATATAGACATTTTTGGCACCACCTGCAGATGTTTTAGAAAGCCCTGTGGAAATCAGGTGAGAAAAAAATACCAAAGCTGAGATATTATAAAGTACAAAACTAATCATTCAAATACATGTTAATTTTTTCGTTACCAAAAAGTGGTTCACAACGACAGTGAAAGGAATCCTTAAAAAATGTAATTTTATTTAAATATTTTGTCTCTCATTTAGTGCTCCGTTTGTTCTTTTTGTCACTCTTTGCTTACTAAGTGTGCTAAGTGCTCTCTTTCTATTTGTGGAGTGAAATTTAAGTGTGGGTTTATTACAGGCGGGCAATATTAATGTAAGTATTTACGGACATAGTTGTTCTTTTTTGCTGCGATGGCATTACGTATTAGTGTTACTAAAATGAACACTTTCTTTTCGCTCTAGTTGTAACCTAAGGGAATATATCATTTTAAGGATTATTCTTTCTTTATATTCTGAGTTATTGCCTCCATATAGGAATGAATACGAGGTTTAAAAAATTAATGTGTTATGGGGACTGCTGTGAAATGGCGGTAACACAGCCTTGTTGCAATGACTTGAGGCGGGCCGTTCAGGCCTACTGCATGTGTAGTCACCCCCAGAGGACTTCTCTGAGCCATTAAAACCCTGCTGTTGACTGCTTTATTCTGGAGGGTGTTTATATTTGCACAGACTTACGTGTTGTAGTGGTGTATGTAGATGCAATGCGCCTGGGCCTGTTGCAGAGAGAAGAGGTGAACTGGCTGTCGCTGCAGGATGTCTGTGGTGGCTGTGAAGAACTGGTCAAAACCCCAACACCTCTCCTGGTCAGCCTCCAGTATACCTGCCAGGACCGGAACCAGCTGCACTGTCAGACCTCTACAGACCAGGGGAGAAATAGATGGAGTCAATCAAGAAGAAGTATCATGTGTTTTCATTATGGTGTCACTGAAATACATATTGAAGGGCTCCATTTGGTGTGACATACTGTGAAAGTTGACAGCTGTGAGGAAGGCCGTAGCTCCACTCTATAGGTCCGTCTGCCACGCGCTGTATTCCAGCTATAGCGCCCATCGGCTTCTCTGTCGTTATTTTGAACCTGCACAACAAGACAAAGACTGATGGGTTATTGATAGACATTATTGTTCTGCATAAACCCCAGGATGCCTGGAGACACAATTGCAGCAAAACAGCTTTCTCCACAAGGACATCTACAGATATCACTAATTGTTTACATTGTAGTATGCTTTCAAAAAATGATAGACTGGTGATGCTGGTCTAGGGAGAAGCGTAAACCAGAACTTCATGTCATTTTTCTTATAAATATGACTAGGAAATCTGTCTCAACTGAAAAAAAGTCTTTAAACTTTGGTTGAAGGACTGTAGATTAAAATCAGATGTTTATATCATAAGTATAAGGCCTGTGGTTTATGTTGCAAATGTAATAAAATAACTCACATGGTGGGTTTGTTCCTGCGGGGTCCACCATATGGTGTGAAGGGAAGACTCCCAGTGGCAGTGTGGTAAAATGTCACACCAATACTCCACAGGTCTACACTCACTCCATAGGATTTCTGATGAGGCTTGCGCAACACAGCACGTTCATACATGTCTGGGTGCTGCACACAAACAAACACAAACACATGTACAGTCAGAGAAGTCTTCATATTTGGATAATATGTCATATGTCGATAGCAGCTAAGATCACATCTGAACTTGTCCAGTGAAAGTGGGATTTTGGGGTTGCAGCTCAGTTGGTAGAGAAGAGGCGATCACTCTCAACACATCGGTTGTTGGTCTGACCTTTTGATGCATGTCTACCAAACTCCTTCTTCACAACATTTCCTGTCTATCCTATGAAGGCAAAAATGCCAAAGAAGAAGAGAGAAAAAAAGTAGTGTTTCTCTCACAGGAGTCTCCTTTTTAATCCAGGGAAGTCACTAAAAATACAAGCACGTCGAAGACGTGTAACAGTCCTACCAGATATGTAACAGTCTTAAAACTGTGGTAATTTCAATTTGTCCACTAGGTGGCTACAAAGTCTTGATACAATTTGCTTTGAGGTTTTAACATCTGGCCTCCACCGGGCCTCACTGACTGACTGACTGACAGTCATCTTTGCCAAGACTACATTACACTGGTAACAAATTATTTCCAGCTCGAGCTGCAGCATAGTCACACACAGAGGGGATCATAAAAAAAGAAACACACCATGCACACACATCCCATAGAAATTCATTTCAGAGGAGAAACTGGTTTTATAGCAATAGGAGGTTCAGTTCCTTGGGGGTAAGCAAACAACTTAAGTATCATAACCAAAGGAATAGTGTGAACGATATAGGCTAGTGTGATTGCATCCTTTACTTTGTTCTAAATATACTCCATAAAACCAAATGCATTCTTCTCTTTAGGCCAAGTTATCATCAAAACAGTGGATAGCAACATTATTTCTGCTGCCATGAGTTTCCCTGGAGGAGAACTGAAGAAAGGAGAAGTTTACAAAAATGTGCAATAGTCTTATCACTGTCAATCAATGGGGCTCACTGGACATGCTTTTTATTGGTGTTTTATCATTTTAGCACGTTTGACTTGAATTTCTTTATCCTGCTCCCTTGCCGATGAGGCAGTAAAAAGATGATCTGCTCATGAAGTCACCTCATGTTCTTTTTAATGCAGCTGTAATGGAATATGAGTGCTAAGGGTATCTCAGAATGACCTGCTGGATAACCGTGCAGTATGAAAGAAGGGAAGTCTGTACATAAAATCTTAAAACGAATGCTACATTCAGTGGTTGATCAAAATGTTATACCCAACAGGGTTTCTAGAGTTTATCTTGCCCGTTATAAAAATCATGACATTTATATTGTTGTCAGACCTTTTTAGTCAGGAGGATACATCAAACTATTTTTTCCTATCAACTATATAAAATCTGACTCCTGCCTCACAATCATGGGGGAAATTGTTGAAAAGATAGTGTAAATCAGTGTAGTGATACAACAGAAAACTCAAAGTACTTGGTCTTTTTTGATTCTCTGATTTTTATTTAACTGCTTAAATTTTTAGGAACTTGCATCGATAGTCACCTCAAATTCATAGATAACACAGACTATGTCTTTAAAACAGCTCTGCAGAGGCTACACCTACTTAGGCAGCTGAATGAGTTTGGGGTGAGTAAAAAGATTCTTGAAATGGTGTACAAGAATCTGGTAGAAAGTATTTTGTCTTTTAACATGGTCACATGGTCCGGGCATGGAAATGTATTAAAACTACTTATTATTTTAAATTCTCGAACCATGCTGACTATGATGTTGTCGAGGACTACAGGCGCTCTCCTGGTTTCCTGATGTGCTTGAATGTTGTGTTGTTTGTCATAATGTTGTTTTTTCTGTCTTGTTCTTATGAAGCCAAAGACAATTTTCCACCTTGTGGACAAATAAAGTTCTATTCTATTCTATTCTATTCATATCGGACTTTGAAGTTGTGCTGCAACAAATGCATAAAAATAAAATGAACAGCAGGCGTCTCTCTATCTCTGTGGTCGTCTATTAATCCAGCAATGAAGTGTACAAAAATAACATGAAATTGACTTTCTTTTTCAAATTTTCAGAATAATAAATAGCATATTCGGGTGTAAAAAATATCTGTGTCCATCTCATTATCCGTGCCTTGCCGAATTCACATTTGGATTCGGGTTCGTCCCTCGCAAGTTCTGAGGTTTACATATTATATTAACATTACCCTGAAGAAAATAGTTAAAGATAATTACAGCTTTGGCAGAGGCATGCACTCGTTTTTCTCATATTCCCTTTTTATTTGGAAACACTGTTCTCTTCCCACACAGTACATACACAAGGCTTTTATCTTACCAGATACTCTTCGGTTCCATAGATCGACAGAAACTTCTCATCATCTTCCAGCTCTCTCGCTGCTCCAAAGTCAGTCAGCTTATAAACAGACTTTCCGTCCTCCCCAACCTGTCGCATGATGTTACCAGGCTTGATGTCCCGGTGAACCACCCCGTTTTCTCGCAGGTGGTTCATGCCCTGCACTGAAGCGAAGACAAACCAGGACACTTTAATTTAGGTTTTCCAGATTACCAGGTTAGTACTAAGAATCACACCCACCGACACACTGCAAAACTATAAGGAACTCGGTTTCAGGCAGGCCAAAGGCATTTTCTGGCTCCTCAAGCAGGCTGAGCAGACTTCCTCCTGAACAATACTCCATCACCAGCACCTTGTTTTTAGAGGGCATCTAGAGAGAGGGAGAGAGAGGTGAGCTGCATAAAAGAAGGTTAATCTTATAAGATCTGCCCCTCTTTCACAAAGCATTAATTAAAACAAAACAGAACACTTCATTCAAAAACAATTAAAATAAAAATAAATTGGCTGCAGGCAAACACAACCACTGGCAGCCCCATCGTAGGTCCTCCTTAACAATTCATTTTACACCGTACAAAGCATATTAAAACAGAACAATACATCTCACTGACATATTTCCACATATTTATTCAACAAACTGGCTTTAATTTTTCTTTTAAATATCATGTTTGATTTTGATTGATTAGTTTCTCTGTTGAGATTGTTCCATAAAACGATTCCTTTCACAGTAAAACAACGTTCCCTCAATTTGGTTCTGAATCTCGGTTTATTAAAGATCTCTGTTCCTTTTAAATTATAATGGCTTTCCCTTTTTTCAAATCTGTTTTGGATGTTTTTTGATTAGCTTTAAACATCAGAATACTGTAATCAACTAATTCATGAAATTTCAACAACTTTAACTGAATGAATAGCAGGTTTGATGGATCTCTACCGACTTCTACTGATGATTCTTATGGCTCTTTTTTGCTAAATGAAAATTGAATGGGTGAATGTTTTACAGGCACTTCCCCAAGTGCCCCTTCCATTCTGTTGGCTTCATGAAAATTATAAGGAAAAGGTACTGCCTCAAGAAGTCTACATTATTTAAAGAAACAACAAATAACTACTGATGTATATTTGTGAAAAAATAGTAACTGAGAACATTTGTTGGAAATGCACGATGAAAGCTCTCTAACTCTAGTGTCTAACTTTGTGGTAAAGGAGGTTTATTCCACAAAGGCAGCTTAAGAAAGCTGAGTTTTTACTTGCATAAGCTTAGTGTGAATAAGCCATTGTTAAAATATGCTCAGTTTCGCTTAAAGCTCAAGCAGTTCCACTAATAAAAAAAATAAGCTTTCTCCAATCAAACGGAACTCTCTTAGGGCTCAATGAAAGTTGCATTGTGCGTGTGCAAGGAGAACATGAGCAGCAGAGAAGAGAAATAGAAGAGGGTACCATGTGCCAAATGTCTTCTTCTCAGCAGCAAAACAAATCGTTCTGTTTTGAATTTCACAAGGATTATATAAGGAATAGTGTTAATACACAAGCCTACTTGTTAGTCGATCTGTAGTGCCCTATTTTAGCCTTATCTGTGAGGTGTGTGTGTGGAGCCACCATGGCCTAGTTAACCTGTACGGATAAACATGTAGAAGCACTGATGTAAGCAGCTGATTGAAATCTGCTTTCTTTATTTTATTTGAAAGCTCCTTAAATGGACAATGACAGCTAAAGAAAGAGAAAATGAGGGAGATGATGATGTGCAGTAAATGAGGGGGGGCCTGAAATTGAACCTAGGAATCTGCATTATGGTACAAGTTCTGCCAGGTGAGCTTGCTGTACATGGTCTGTTACATAAAGCTTAGAAGCCCATCGAAGGGAAAGTGTGGCAGGAAAATATGATGATAAGTGTCTAATTTGCGCCCGCTGTGGACAAAGCTGTGCCCCTTTAATCTTTTCTTACCCACAGTGTATGTATGTAACTCTATAGAAATGATCAATCTGGTTTCTGATGGCCTCATTTGCTTTTGTAGGTCACAAAGAGGCCTCAGTATAAATATCAGTCTGTTTCATAACCAGTTAGAAACTCCTCATTTTCTTTTAACTCTTTTTACACGGTGCACTTGGAGTTGTCTTTGATGTGATTTGGGCTACATAGTTTGATTTATTTTTTTTGGAGATAGTGACAATGATTAGATGTATTTCCATGATTTTATTTTAATCTTAAAAGTCTTTAAATTTACCGTTCAGGCAAACTGAACCATACGTCTTGGTAACATTCAAAGAAAATGCCTGACCTTGTGATTTTGAACACAAAAAGTAAGTGCATGGAGTGTAAAAAATACACCTGAATGAATCTGTGACAGCCTGTCCGACATTCTTTGACACTAGCTATATGAAGCTAAACTGGTAGCGATCCACAGAGCAGGCTGGTTCTGCAATATAACTCACCATGGTACTGAGCAGGAAAATCAAATAAGCCCCATAGATGTCATTTAATTGAGCGAGCCCTCTCCTAAACCTGCCTTGAAGGCACCCTTTCACATGCACAAACGCTCTCCTTATCAATGTTCTATAACCATTTTGGAAGAAAGCTGCTACCCTATTTTACACAGTTATTGATTCATAATATCTTCACACAACTGAGTTTTCCCTTTTCGCCAGTTCTTGAGTTAACACCTCTTATGGTAGCCTTACTTCTTCCACAGCAAACAGCCGAACAATATTGCTGTGGCTCAGCTTCCTGAGCATCTCAAACTCTCGCATCTGGACGTCATGGGGGCGGTTGTAGCTCATCGTGTTAAACACCTTGACAGCAACCAGCTCACCCGACCTCTGTATGCCGCAGACGTACATGCACCCACACACACACACGCACACACATTTACAGATCAGCATAACACATCAAAACGTCATTTAATGTCATCAGCAATGCAACCACAACCTTTTCTTATCACACATCCTGGTGTCACTGCAAGTAAAAGTGTAGGTTGCAACATCTGAGGTATAGGCGGATGGAGAAAATGATGTTTTTGAGTCTGAGAGTGAAAAACACTTTCTCTTGCTACCTTGTTGCGGGCCTTGTAGACACTGGCAGTAGCTCCTTGACCCAGGACATCTTGTATTGACCACAGGTAGTTAGTTGTACTTGCTGTGATCCCTGTCATGCTGAAAGGAGCAATATAGACAATGATTAATTATAAGACAAAGAAAAGACACTGGAGAGAGACAGACAAGATCCCACTCTCTTATTTTCCTATAGAGTTGCACACACGCACGCACGCACGCACACACACACACACACACACACACACACACACACACACACACACACACACACACACACACACACACACACACACACACACACACACACACACACACACACACACACACACACACACACACACACACGTTAGTTCAAGTTTGTTAATTCTTATCAACTTACCATTCTTTGCCATGTAGAAAGTTTATATAACTCACATAAAATAAATAAATAAGTTGAAAGGTTAGCTTACCTTGTTAGCTGCTGCAGCTAGCCGTGCTGTATCTGACAACTGTTCCTCATAAGTTAGCGTTAGCTGCTTTAAACGATATCTCGGGATATGTCGCGTCAAAACCAACTCACTGTCGTAAATTATAGACCCGTGGCTTTACAGTCACTCCAACTTGACTGAAGACAAAAGACGCCTTCGTAACTTCTTCCGTATTGACAATCAAGAAACAGCTGTTATAACCTGCGTATTGGCTGCTTTCTGATGACGTAGGACACAGGTAGGAACAGGACGTGCAGGTACGGTAATAACTAACTGGTGCATTCCTTTTATTTCTGTCGAAAACCAGTGGGTGTCCTCAAAGTCAGCAGATGGAAACATCACACTGCAGTGTGTGTTTTGGGAAGTGTTGGTTTCAGTCAACACGGGGCGGACTCTATGAATAAATAGAGGCGGAAATAAAGCAAAACAGCAAACTAGGCACTTTCCACTTTGCCTCAACTACCAACTCTGTAACAGTAAACCGTGTGTGACAAGTGAACTGCACTTGGTTCATTGCATAGTTTGAAACATCCTGTTGAATTATACATTTTGTCCCGTTTCAATTTGACGAGTTTGATGAGTTTTTACAATATCCCCCCCACCCCCCAGGTTTTCATTGTATAGAATAGAATCTTTATTATCATTGTATACAAGGACACAACGAAACTTTGTTCGCAGCAATCCTAAACAGCAGCGTTTACAAAAACAACAACAACAAATATTTTTTTGGGTGATATTAAAGAGAAGTATGCAAAAAGTGGCCAGAGCAATTGCTGTTCAGTGAATGAATGGTAATAATAATAAATAAATAGACAGTTATGGTGACTGAAAGAATATATACAGTTATTATTTTGCAGTGACTGATAAATTAAACAAATATAAATATAGAGATATAGTGCAAATAAGTGAAGTTATGGTGCAGTGAAAGAGTATATACAGTTATTATTGTGCAGTGACTGGATGAGTAAATAAACAGTTTTAGTGCAATGAATGAATAAATAAATAGACAGTTAAAGTTAAAGTGCAGTGACTGAGTAAATAAACAGACAATCATAAAGCAGTGAATTACAAAGTTATTGCACAATGTATGTATTTCACCTTTATTGATCCAGGTCAGTATTGGTCAGTATAAATTAGGCTTAATTTCGCCCAGTAGCGTAGCCAGAGTTTTTTGACTTGGTTGGGCCACTGACTTCTGCAGGGGTGGCCAGGCGTGTTAGGAAACCACATTAACATAAACACTTTTTATCATTTTCAACATTTACCCTTTTTATCTCCACAAGTGACAGTCTATCAGTTATTCACAACTGGTCTAGCCTCAGCAACCCCCAACCAACTTCTCATGAAAAATTGCGACCCTTATTTGTGATACTTTTGAAGTGTGATGTTTGGACCCTAGACGGTACTAAACGTGACAGAACAAAGAAAAGGAACAAAACTTATATTTAAATGGCGCTTCAAAGACTTTTTGACACATTTTTTCCCAGGCACACATTCACAACCCTCTCTGCACATGGCTCATAATATATCATCTTATAGGTGAACATGTTTGACCAATTCCTGTGGTCCTACTAGAATAAAATTGTGTAGCGTTTGCACAACAGAAAAAGTACACACAAAACAGGTGGCCTCTGGTATTTGTAGTTCAACCCCATTTTTTTCTTCTAATGTGACATCTTTGTGGCGTTGATGCACCAACCAACATTTTCATATCTTCTCTTATTTTTGTCCTTTTCTGTCAGTTAAAAATGTTTCTTTCCAGACTTAACCTACCTGGGGGAATCCAAGAATGGTTCGAGTCCCACATCAAGCCAAGATATGAATCTCAACAAGTAACATATTTTGTGACATTTCATTTTCCCCCCTTCACCTGTGGACAAAATGATCCAGACATTTCTTCACTTAACATTTTCCCATCTTTTCCCAACTTTTATCAAGGATAAAAATGTCAAAACAAAAAATTAAATGGGACATTTGTAATTGTTTCAAACATAATCAAATACAAGAATCGTCATAGCAAGCAATGTTTATTAAAAAACAGATTTACTACAAGAACTACACGTAGAATTATATAAGGCCTATTTGATTAAACTACTATTGCTATTACTGTACAATATTGTACCAAAAAAAGAGTGTACCTCTGTAATGTACAACATTGTATATACAAAGTACATCTGAACACAGGATTCTCCAGTAATACAGATACAACTATAAATAGATTTGACATTACAATCTTTTTTTTTAGTTCTGCTGTTGTTTCAAATTGACACAGAAATGCATATTTAACAATATTCAAATCCGACAGATCATCCCCACACAGTTAGTCCACACCCAAGCTAAATTGTTCAAGTGTACGATGATTGATTTGAGATCTTAAAGGGTCCCAGCTCCCCAGAACAGAATACACCTACCAACCCCCTGCATATCTGTGTGTGTGTGTGTGTGTGTGTGTGTGTGTGTGTGTGTGTGTGTGTGTTCCCTCCAGTTGTCATAATGAGGTAAGAACAAACGCAAATACACCAGGTATTACAAAGAAATGATACAGAGATTAAAAAAAAGAAGTAATAATTATAATTTATTACCTGGTAGAGAGCATTCAGGAATGCAGTATTTCTGGGTGGAGAGGCAATTGGTATGGTAGAGGGCAACATGAGGATACATGAGCTCCATACTTTTTCAAGAGGGTGAAATAGAATTTTAAACAGGTTTCATTCAGTTCACCTTGAATGGCATGTGTCAGTGTTTACAAAATTATTCACATACTCGCAAAGTCATAATCAGATCTAATTTTGCAAAGGTACACAGAAGCAAACCATTTCAGAAAAAGAGAAAAGTTGAAGTCCTTGGATTACGGTTTCCTCGTCCTCTTTCTATTTAAAGTTGGGTCTGCCACAGGAGTTGGTACAGCGACAACTGGAGAAGAGACTTTTCCATCTGCTCACATGTACACAGTGCATATTTATTCAGCACAAGGGCTGCTGGTACAGAGTGTTTTCCTTTGTGTCTCCATACTGCTGCTGTTACAGTAGGTGGCATCCCTTTATGACGCGTGGCAAGGGGCGGGGTTAATGTGCACACATACTCTACATCCACGCATGCTCACACACATGCACACACCCAGACAGCTACACAGTTTGACATTTAACCATTACAGATGCAGATTATTCATAAACAACTAGAAAAAAGAAAAAAAAAGAAAAAGCAAACTTTGCTTTAGAACGCATTGGATGAGGTGGTTGGTTGTGCTTCTATCTAAACACACTCTGGAGGATCCCCAGCTCCATGCTTCCAGTTATCATCATGATTATTACACAAACATATACATCATTAGAATTATATTAAAAAAACGTTTTTTTACTGTTTAGTCTGAAGAATATAGTTAAAGGAGCAAGCTGCAACATTGTTTAAAGTTGTTTTGTAGCTTGTACTGCAGAGAAAGACACTGACGCAACCACCGAGCTCACTTATTTAGCTGCTGTCTATGGCCCCAGCATGCAAGGAAAACCTGAACGGCGTTTAGCTGCCACAAAACACCACCACACACACATTTGGAGGAAAACTGTGTATGTATGTGTGTGTACAGTCCGACATGAAATGCTGGGTTGTAATGGTCCTCTACATACAGAGTTGAGCTGCAGCAGAGAAGCAGCCAAATGCCTCAAACTACCAGCTTTTATCATTTTTATTGCTATTTTTTAAATTGAAAATTACTGTTGGTCGTAATAATTATCAGAGGACAAGAACAGCAATATAAAAAAAACACCAACATATCAAACACTGGAAGAAGAGAGAAAAATAAAGCTCTTGATCACATGACTTACACACTGATATTTGGCCCAGTTTTTTTTCCTTTCATCCTCCTACAAGTCCACCTTTATCTCTACTTGTATTCCACTTCTGAAGCAGCAAGTCAGTGAGTCTCATATGAACACGGAGCAAGAGCTTAGCATTTCACAGTTTATCGTCAGGAATCAAATGCTCCTTTCTTCCAGTCCACTAGTCATATGTCATTTCAAAGTTAAAAGAAAAAAGAAAACCTGTCATGTCTACTATACAAAAAAATCAAACAGTGCTTTTCGTTCCTCACTTACATCTGTGTGTAAAGGCAAGTAACACTCTTGCATGCCCACTCAATCACAATTTCAAACATCACAAAACTAGTGTATGTAAGCTGTGTTTCTGGAAGTGTCCATCCCAAGTTCTCTGTTCTCTGGTGAAATATTGGAAAATCCAGTGATTCCCAGAATCTCTGTGGTGGCAAAAAAACAAAACAAAGAGTCTTTGAAGGGTGTTTCCACTGATCCACGCTCTTTGATAGTTTACGTGTAGGGAAGCAGAGCTGCCAGGAGAGGGCAGAAATAATTCTTGACAGTCCTAAGTGAACCAACATCTTTAGGAAACTGCCTGGAAATGAAGAAGTGAATGCTACACAAGTAGTTTGTTTAAAAAAAAAAAAAGAGCTGTAAGAACTAAATAGTTAATAAGACTTAGATAGCAATTAGAGGCCCTAAGCTGGGCAGGATTTGTCATTAGATTGGGGTTGAGGTGGTGGAGGAGGGGTGCTAGGGAGAGAGTGTGTGTGGCCTGCAGGAGGAGGAGGAGGTGTAGGGGGAACTGTAGAGGTTGGGGAACCCATTGCTGGGCTCCCACTTCCTCCTCCGCCTTTTGGGAACACCACTGGCTTGGGCCTAGTCGCCGGGGGTCGCAGCTCTTTGAAAGAAGGTACAGAGGAGGAGAGGGAGGAAGAGGAGAGAGAGGGGGAGGTGGCAGAGGGCAAGGGGCTCCGCGGCTGGCTCTTCGACTGGCGGAAGGAGGAAGGCACATCGCTGGCGGAGGAGGCGCTGCGCTGAAGCGGGTGGGCGTGCGAGGAGCCCCCCTCGCTGTCTCTTAGCAGACGGGAGTGGAGCGGGCTGGAGGGCTCCGACGCGCCACCTCCACCCACACCTTTCAGCTGCTCCAGCGTGTCCAGGACGACGTCAGGGGTGTGTGTGTGTTTGGAGGTGCTCTGTCTCTCCAGCTTACTGATCTCAGTCAGCCCAGAGCTCATCTTGGCGTCCAAGTCCTGCAACACAAGATGCAGACAGTTAATGAGAGCTCGTGTGAATAAAATGCGGGAAGAAGCAAGAGAGGAATGTGATGTACAAAGGAGGAGTTGTACCTGTGAGCTGTGCTCCACCTGAGTAAACACTTCAGGATCCAGTGGTCTGTGGTTGCTAAAGCTTTTAGAGCGTCCTGCTGTTGTTGTCTTGCGTAACTGTGGACTCTCCACCTAAATTGCAACAATGCACACAATTAAATGCCTGCAACATTTTTTAAATTCATGGATTCACTTGATAGTGTTTGCTAAAGATGAGATGTCACAGTACCTTGGTCTTCAGAGAGGAGTGACGGGTGACTGAGTTGAGGATGCTGTGAGCACTGACGGGCCGTTTGTCTCCACTTTCTTTGACCAGAGCCCCACCAACAGGAAGAGAAGCCGTTCTCACTCCTCCTCCTCCACCTCCTCCTCCTCCTCCTCCGCTGGTTCCTGGACTGGTGCTCTCGCTCTCTGAGCCACGGAACGTTCTGCGGATACTTCCAGACTCCGGACGTTTCCTTAACCTCAATGAGAAACCCAAGTCACTTTCTATAACTGTTTATGTCAAGAAAAAACAAAGAATTTTAAACACCACACATTTACTGTATGTGAGAAGAAAGCTAAAGTTAAAAAGACATTTTATATGGACCAAATGGACTGAATCATCTCCATGGGAGTACATGGGTGTTATTTCCTCATTTTTGTCATTTTCTTTCATCCGTTAACCTGCTCTGTATTTAATTTTCTTATTTTCTTTCTCTACCCCTCCAAGGTAAAAGCTTCCTGTGTTCTTTTGTAAATAATTTCAATTTAATTAATGTTACTTGAATATGAAAAAATCTGAAGAAGAGCTAAATTGTTAAATATACTGCGAGCATCGTACCCCCCTCTTTCTGCAAAGAAAGTGCTCCAATGTTTGCAAGTTTGAGGGAGGAGTCTTGCATTTATTCTGCTATTATGTGTAATTACTAATGTGTGAAGAATGCTTTTCCTAAATAAATTTTTATTTTTTTTAAAATGACATTTTAATACGAACAATATATACTGTAAATTATAAACACAAGACTCACTTGTTCAGGTTGGCCAGGTAGATATCAGCTACATGAGCTCCAGTAGGAGAGGCAGCACTGCCTCGAGTAGACACCCTCTCCTCCAGCAGGTCCCTGCTGTCCACATCAGGCTTTGGACTTCCCCTGCCTCCGTCAGACCTGAAACCATCAAACAATAGGAGTTGAATCATTTTTGAATCTCTATCCCACATCTAGGTCAGCAGAGGAGGAGCTTTTCTCTCACACGGACACATTATGTTTGAAAGATAAAGATCACTCCAGGGGACACATTTCTTTTATTAGTCGATACTATGCAGCCTTCTGACTCTTATACAAGTTGAAAAATGGAACTTTAAGGGGAAGTCCAGTATTTGTCAACCTTGATAACCTTTTTTTTAATTTTTTTTTTTAATCTTTTATGACAACAACTTTTTTCTCCACCATGTTTTCTATGTAAATCTTCTAAATCATCTTATTGCATTTGGTTCTTCTTTGTTGGTGGCACACACGTGTAGATAGCCTCGCACTTTCATTAAAGGCTTTCTATGTGATTTTTCACACTTAAATATAATATAAATCAAGTTTATCCTCTGAAAATAACTCTGTGAGTCATGACTGTCTACAATGGGTGTAACACCCGAGTCCCACTGTCTGTGATGTTTTCAGAGTTTTCAGAGTCCTATCTTCACTTTGTTTACATCGCCTGGACGGCCGGCTGACTCCTCCCCATGTGTATAAAAGTTGTTTAATTGAGGGACTAGAGAAAAGAAGAATAACATACTGTACTCACTGCTTAACTGTGTTTCTAGATCACGCTCATTTCAGGTAAATTTACATGCAGTGTGAAGATACAGCATAATAAAGATCGCTAGCATTAGCATGCTAACACAACAATGCAGCGCGAGTTGTTTTGGTTTCATGCTGGTGCTCAAGGGCGACATCTGCTGGATCAAAAAATCACATATAAAGCCTTTAAAGAACAACTGTGCCAGAGTGAACACAACTTTTAAGGAAGACAAGGAAGCCAATGTGCTAACATAAGGAATGTATCTTAGCAGATTCACTTCCTGTGTTTACTATTGGCTAAGTTTTCTGTAGGGATAGCTGTTAGCTATTGCCTCTAGGCCAAGAATAAGAAAACACGAGAAAAGGTGAACAACAACTGTAAATTCTGATTTGTTATTCTGTTCCTTACACTATTTTTGTTAAGACTAGCAGTAGGATGCATCTTACATTTCTTGAACCACAATGTACTGGTGCGGCACCAGTCCGTCCGCTCCGTTATGCCTTCCTTCCCACCAGTCATCAGAAGCTCGCTGGTACAGGAGCAGAGATGCTCCCTTCTTGAATGAAAGCTCTCGAGGAGTACGGCCGGTGTAGTCAAACCGAGCGATGGCTTCGATGGGATCAGACTCTGAAACAGCCAAGGAGCCTGAGATTCAGGGGAGGGTGGACAGACACAGGAAGTAACAGAGAAGCGGGGTGGGGGGGGGGGAGAAAGTTTGCAGAGAGGGGGATTAGTGCAAAGCAGGTGAATGGTGAATGGTGACTGCACAAATGTTAAACACGCTAAGCAGTGATGAAAGCAGCATGATTAACAGGTGGTTACTGGGACCAGGATGTGAGCTGGTTTTAATGGTTAGAGCCATACATAGTAACTAGTGAGAGGGATGAGATATCATACAACTGTTAACAAGAGGAAACTGTTTGATTCATACAGGTATTTAAAGCAAATTTACTGTATGTGTGTGTGTGTTTTTTTTGTACCATCTTCACTGTTGTGACGGACAGAGACGGTATCAGGCGCAGGCTCTTCCACTAGGGGGGGCTCACTACAGTGGACATAAACACAGAGCAGAAGCAGTTAAGAGGACACAAATACAGAAGTCTCAGACCCAACAACATCATGTGGTGGTGACTCACAGCCTGACCTCCTATTCCACAAGAAATCACATAAGCTCAATGACAAGTTGACCTTGCTCCTTGTTCAATACTTCAATACTATTATGTGCTCTCTAACCCTGCTTTGATTTTAGCATCCACAGGTCATAGAGTTTGGATACATCCAGGGCTACAAGATTTAACTAATGTCAGGAGACTTCACACTGTAAGTTAGAAAAAGGGAGCCTGCTTCTTACGTACACTGATATTCTTTATTGACTCATCCGGTATATATTGTAACAATTCATCCATTTATCTTTAAGTATTTTATTGTCAGAAAGTGTTTGGAAAAAAAGCATATCACAACTTTCAAGAGCCCATAATGATGTCTTTAAATTGCGGTCTGGAGAGACTTCAGAAGACTCTCGATTTACAGTCACAATGAGAAACACAAGCAGCCAATCCTGATTTGAAAGAAACTGGACACAACACATGTTGAAGATATTTGTTTCAGTTCCAGTTTGGACTTCAAACATATTTGGCCCCGTTTTAGTATTTTCACTACACATAGCAAGGAGTAGAAAACCCTGCTTTTTTAAACCATTTATCAAATCAATTTGTTGCCTTCAAAAAAAGTTACATTTTGTAACACTGTATCTATGTCGAGTCCTGAATGAAAAAACAACAACTTTGTTATATGTTAGGTTGAATTGCATGTAGACATTAAGACTTCCCAATCCTAAGGGGAGTACTGTATCGATCACATGACCTCATTGTAACTAATATGGCCCGAGGAGCATCAAAGCTCAGCCTATCAGCCAACCACTGATAAAAGATTTTCTTTCTTTCTACAGTCGAGGCAAAGTGCTGCAACTCCAGTCTAAGCACTTTACTGACTGGCAGTAATCATAAGAACTGGTGCCCCGGCTTTTCATTACAGTAAAATTGAAAGTGGTCCCTGTATGTATTGTTGTGTGTGTGTGTGTGTGTGTGTGTGTGTGTGTGTGTGTGTGTGTGTGTGTGTGTGTGTGTGTGTGTGTGTATGCTGTGCTCTCCCAGGCTGGGTCGGTCAGGCGGTGCTTTAATCTCGTGTGTGATGGAGGGTAAGCTGATCCTCGTGGCCCCCCTGGCCCTGAGTGGAGCAAAAAAACTCCCACCCATTACTCCACTGCAGCCCCTAAATCAACCCCTGGTACCCCCCCCCCAACTTCTGTCCTTGTTATCATCCCTAAACACTGTCTAGTTGGATGAAAATTAGACAAGACTTTCCCTGCTTTGTTACTAGATTTAGCTATTTAAATTCCTCCCCTGAAGGAACTGTTACATCCCCGGCTCTCACCAGAAGTCGTCTCCAGTCCCGGGGATGATGTAGACGGGGCCCTGAAGGTCCTGCAATCCAGGGAAGATGGTGTCATGGTGGATGATGATGGTTTTAATGAGCTCATTGACGTGGGCCTGGCAGGAGACTTGGTCGTGGCCCTCGGGGACAGACATCAGGGTGGGGCCGAAGCAGATAGCCAGGTTGTAGGGGTCCATCATGTTCTCCTCGCTGTACTGGGAGAGACTGGGAAAAAGAGAGAGAGAGCAGTTCTCAAGTTACCCTCGTATCTTAACCACATGATGTACAAGACACTCAGAACACAGACAAACTAACAGGTCATGTCATTTAAATCCTACAGATATCCAAACAGTAAACATCCCCCAGGCCTGCATCCACACTTCACGTGTGCAATGCAGTGCTGTGATGAAGGCTCTAATGATGTGTGTGTCTGTCAGAGTCTGAGGAGAAGCAGGAGCACTGGGGAGATTGTAAATCACTGAAGTAAAAAAGAAGCACCCCTGCTGTCTGGGACTGCTCAGGAGTCTCAAATATCACGCCTCCCACATCTTATCTATTCTTTTTTTCAACTTTTTTTGGAAACAGCTCTCACTGTGGTTTTACAAGGACCTAATTACAATTCTACAATTCACTTAGATGTACATTGCTGTAAAAACGACGTACATCAGAGAATAAGAAAAACACAAGCAAGGATCTAGAAAACAGGGAACAATGTCAGTAAGAGCAAACGATCAGCTTTGAGTCTGATTGGACACACAGATGCTGACAGGAAGTGACCAGAGGCAAAGCACAACATTGAGGACAGTTCTTGAGAGCTCTAATCAGTATAGAAACATCTTATAAGTCATCGTTATCAAACAAAAACCATCGTCATTACCATCATCATCATCAATAATATGGAGACCAAGTTAGTAGGTGTTCATAAAGAGCTGGCTCTTTAGCTTCTTAAAGGTGCAAGAGAATAATTACTCATAGCAACGGATCCAGGACCACATATTCCCTAAGTAAAGTACCTCCCGCATGACCCCAGAAGGACACGGTCATAGGCCTTCTCCAAGTCAACAAAACACAAACTCTTGTGCACAGCAAGGTTAAAGAGCTGGTCTTCTGTCCCACTGCCGGGTCACAATCTGCATTGCTCATCCTGTATCCGAGATTCAACAATTGTCAAGGGTCTCCTTTGCAGCACCCTGGAATAAACTTTCCACGGGAGGCTGAGTAGTGTCATAGTAGTGAAAACCCTCAACTCCCGCGATATAAAAATGGGAACGCCCAGTATTCCACAGAACCCCACAATGTCCTACAATGTCAAAACCATCTCAATAGCATCTCCTCCGATCTCAGCTACACCCGGCACCCTGCGTCTAAGGAGCTTTTTAACGACCTCAGCGACCTCTGCCAAAGACCTTCAGACTCAGCCTTTTCATCGAAGGGTGTGCCAGTTGCATTAAGGAGTTCCTCAAAGTGTTCTTTAGGTTCCACAGTTTTGACATCCCCAGTCCAGGTCAACAGATCTCCACTCCCTGCTGAGAACAGCCTGAGCCAATCCTTGTGTAGTGACAATCTAATGCCCAAATTTCTTATCTTGCTTTTAGTCACTTGCATAGGTGTATGGAAAGTTCTTGACGTGTAAAAAATAAACAAATGTCCAAAATTAAAGTACTTTCTGATGTTTATTTTCACATATGAAGCAGAGAAAACCCGTGATGATGATATGATGAGTTGTTATTTCTGAGATTATACTGTTGGTTGTCGTTCTTTTGTTATGTTAAATAGCCTACTTGCGTTATGTTGTGTTACGGTAAGAACCGTATGTTCCCACCACCTATGCCCTCGTTTCCTGTTCACCTGTGACATATAAACACTGAACCAACCACCTGACCAATTAACCCAAATGATCAATTATCACCACCTAGTGCCCAAATTAAGTAAATAAATCAACACACAAACAAAAGCCATTGAAATACAATACATAAATACACACACACTGAATTGGCTCCTACACCCTGCTTTCCCCTCCTGAGTGGTCTGACAGTTTGCCAGAACATCCTTCGGGTCAAATGGAAGTCCCTCACCATAGCCTGTATGTGTTAAATGTTGTTTAACGAGCATGGGAATATTAAGTTAGAACACTATACTTTACTTTGACACATGCATCCATTTAACTCTTGCGGCTGATGCTTCTAAAAATGGTATCAGTGGTACCATGCTCATTGTGGGACTTCATCCTTCTAATATTCTTTTTTTAAGTGATGGTTAGTGACTGATGTTAGCCACAAACACTGCAAACAGGCCTATACAAATAAACTTGACTTGAAGTGGAAAAATGAATCATTCCCTGAGGATGTGGAATACCAGTTAGCTTCCTGAGTAATGAAGAGATGGAAATATTATTTGCACTTTTAGGCTTTTAGAAGAGCCCACACTTGAAATCCCACAAGGGTTAAAGGATGTTTAGAGCTGGTGTGAGAAGGCCAAATGAAAGCCTCTTGACCCCATTCTGATGTTTATGAACTACTACTCAGTGTTTACGGGGTAACAGAGGGTAGAAAGAGCAGTTTGATTCTCATGAGCGTACATTCATTACAATTTAAGTGAAAGTGTCTTCCCAGTTTTTCTCTCTCGTTATTGTCAACGGTCAGTGGACTCGCGTCTACTGACACATTGTGTACATCCTTTGATATGTGAATTGACCAACTTTTAGGGTGGTATATCATTACGACTTATAAAGACATGCATTGAAATGGTCTAGGAGTAAGAATCATCTCATACACACATTTAGTTCTGAGCCGTTTTTCAGTCACATCAATAGATGCGTTTATGAGATGTGTCTTACTCCTGGATTAATGCTTCCATAAGTCATAACAAGGTGCTGCCCTCAAAGTCGGCAGAGAACACAGCTTCTGATTTTTTGAGCTGCAACTGTTTTAACTTTTAATCTGACAACATTTGTGAGCTTCAACCATCATCCACTAAGCAGCAGTGTTGCTCTACACTTACACAGGCTCTCACTTTTTCTCACACAACAACAAAAAGCAAACATTTTAGCCTCCTTTGAAGTGTATGCCTCAGGCCTGAAGAACTGTGAAACACAAATATTAAATGGTGTTTTTTTGTTTTACAGTCTTACTGCTGCTGGCGGTATGAATGAAGTTAACTTTGTATTTGTGATGTCATTCTTTGTTTTTAACTTAAGATTATAACCGTTTTACTTACAAAGAAACTATATATTTGTATTAATCACTCACTGTGTGAGTGTGTGTGTGTGTGTGTGTGTGGGTGGTTACTCACTAGTTAAGGAAGGAAAATAAGTATCTCATAATAATGAGGGTTTTCCTCGGCAGGGATTGCAGGACTTTCTTTATGTGGACAGCTCGCTCCTGCAGACTCTCCATGGCTGGAAAACAAACACAGCCATGACACTCAGGAGATTACTCACACATACTCAGGAAGAGAAATACACACTCACACACCAAAAAGGACAAAAGCATGAGAGACTTACAGACGCAGGATATGACATCATGGAAGACTTCCTTAGGGAAAAGGGCTTGGTCCAGTCCTCTAAAGTAAAGCTTAAGAACGCCAGCGATGGAGTCCATATCGTGGTCGTTCTGGTCTCCTGCCAGAGGGTCTTCACCTATATCCGGACAGGAAGATGAAGAGGAGAGGGAGGGAGAGGGAGAGGGGATAAAAGAGAATTAAACGCTGGAAAAATTCAGCCTTTTGAAAAATGTTTGTTTCCTTTTTAGCTCCGTCTTACCTCTCTCAAAGGCATTTTTGATGTCATTGACTTCCACCTGAGAGCCTGAAACTCTGAAGATGCCCTCATGCTGCAGACCTACACACACATGAACAAACCTGGGTTTAAATCGGGAGTCTTTTTTTCTCAAAGATTATGCTTTTTTTGTACTTCCAAGTAAAAAGTTATGGTACAATTTTCTGCTACAGATTATCTAAAGCCATACACACCAATCACTTAACATTTCAACCAATCAGTGCGCAGAAAAAAAGCTGATGCTAAACCTATCAATTCACAAGAAAATTTCCCCTCACCATGGCGACTGATGAAGCGGATGCAGCTCTCCACCATCAGAGGAATGGCTTCACCCGAGTCCTTAAAATAGAGGAGGAACAACAACAATCAGTCCCGATAGAGGAAGACAAGACAACAAGACAAGAGGCCGCTGTGAAAATAAATAAAACACTGCACACGTCTTGTCAGGAGGATTTCCCACACACACATCTGCACACGTTTCTGTGTGGTTGGGGTAGAGATTGGGCGCAGTTCCCAGCAGTTGCTAGGAGACAGCGCCTTTTTTTTCTTTTCCCTTTGTTTGTTTGGGATTTCCAGAAATCTCCAGGAGGTAAGGCGGGGGAGGGGGGGAGGGGGATGTTGGATGACATGCATTCTTACTTTGTGAAGCTCACTTGGGCTTAAATAGGTTTTTAGAACATGATAGTTTTCAAAATTAAAAGTTATCTCAAATAAACAAAAAAATGCTTTACCTACATTTAAAGGAATAACTAATGTCATTACACAAGCCAGCCACAAGGGGGAGCCCTTTACATGAGATTCCCCAATGGAGGCTGCTTTTGATCACTGATGTGTTATGTCAGTTGCATGTGTGTGTGTGCACAAAAATGACTGTACAGATTGAGCAGTAGGTCTAAATGTTTATATCTGTGTGTCGGGTTATAAGTGTAGAAACCAACTTTCAGTCAGCCTCACATACATTCCTATAAGGGGGATTCTGTGAGAAGCATGTGGCTTGAGTTAAAAACTACAAAGCTATGGGGTTCTTACTGACAAGCTGACAGCCCATCAGACACAAACACACACACACAGGAACACACACACATGTCAGATAATTACCTGCTTCCTTACCGACGAGTTTCTCCGTCCACTGCACAGAGGGGAGAGAAAAGGAAAACAAGAGTCTGTCATTATGTCTCTGGAGAAAGTCTATTTATAAAGCACAACTCTGGTAATGCTCTATTTGTATACACACATGTGCACATGTGTCGAGAATAAACAGTCACAGGGAGAATAATAGCCTAGGATGCCAAGAAATCAAGCTTCAACTTTTGCTATGGTATATATGTGTGCGTGCATGTTTGAGCATACTTCCTTTCTCCACCACACCTACCTGGCAAGGCAACAGTCAGTCTTCTGACCTAAAGGAGGGAGAGACGGGAAGAGGGGGAGGGAAGAGAAAAAAAAGAGCGATAGATGGTTATAGTAGCAGCAGGACACATAAGGAAACAGCTTCAGAGGGACATGAACAAGGGAAACAAACTTCTCACTAAGCTGCAAGCACACAACTAAGGAGTCTTTCCTGTCAGGTTGAGGACAAACAGACAGAATTCCCCCCCCCCCCCCCGGGGTACTTTGACACACAGCTGCATCCACATATGGTAACCTTGACAAGACCAACACAAACACTATGACAGCTCCACTCACTCTCTCCCAGGGTCTTCTCAATCAGGTCGTGCTTGGCCTCCAGCTTTGTGATCAGGTTCCTGCCCTCCAGAAACTCCTTCAGCTTCTACAACACACGACACACACACACACACACACTGGGGTCAGAAGTGTGCACATGATGCCGATCGAGTACTGTATCACAGGATTGCTCCTTTTGAAATCACAGAGTTTCATAACATGCTCTCACCGTGAAGTAAAACTGCTCCGTCTCCTGCTGATTGGCTCGTCGTTTGGCCAGGCTGGGCTTGCTGAGATATGATTCGCTGAAGGTGGACTTGACCGACTCCATGCTGTTGCTGTGATGGAAGCAATCAGAGACGTCGTAGTCCTCCACCCCCACCATGTCCGTGATGGTGGAGAGAGTTGCTTCCATGGTCTTCTTCACCTGAGGGAAGGTAAGGAAGAGGATAAATTAATGTGTACTAACACAATACTCAATTAGAGCTGTGACAGATGGGAGGATGAAGCAGAATGAGTGAATCACATCAGAGAAAATCAGAAAGATGTCTGACCTCTTCATTCTCTATTTTCAGCGTGGAAAGGCGGGACTGCAGCTGCTGACATCTCTGGATGAGTTCACTCTCCACCGGCTGCTGTGCACACATCATGCCCATCTACACTCCAACACACACACACACACACAAAGACACAACACAGTGGAATGTGAGACACAATTTGAAGCTTAAAAAATACACAAAAAAACATGGCTCTTCCCAGTGTGCATATTTAAGCTGAATAAGAGCTTTCTTTTCAAGACACAGCTCATAATAACGCCTCCAGCATTAGAAGTGTACCGTGTCTCCCATGTGGGACTGAAAGTCGAAGCGAGCTGGGGGGCAGAAAACGTTGTTGTAGGTTTCCATCAGCTTTTGCTTATCCCCGTTGGGCTCCAGACTCTCTGCAGATCCCTCCAGTGTCTCCAGGCCCGAGTGTTTGGACATCTCCACGTTCTGCTCTGCAGACAGGTAGGTCCTCAGGGCGCGGTGCAAGCTGGCATGGTAGCCAAGATCACAGCACTGTACAAAAAAAAAATCAAAACATGTACACATGTGGCATGGCATTGAAAGGGAAATCAAGACGCAGAATGACCTTATGAAAGAATGCACTAAGGAAACAGGTACAGACTGGAATGAACTAACTCCTAAACCTGACTCCTTCTGTTTTGATGTAATAATGCAAAAATGTGACTCTTTGAACTTGCCTGTTTTGTTTTTGTTTTGTTTTTTAGCATGCATTCCTGTACTGTTTTTGTTTCTCATGTGTAAGTCTGTGCTTTTTGTCCTTTTTTGTGCTGTATAACATGTAAAAATTCAATAAAAACTGAGTTAAAAAAGAAAAGAAAGGGAAATCAAGAGGAAGAAAAATCATGTCAGTGACTGGATAAGAGAAGTGAGGATAGAATGATGATCACATTTCTTATACCTGAACTTCCATGGGCTGATTAGTTACAGCTGAATACTGCTAACTTTGTACGGCTAGGTTCAGGCTAAATCCTGTGTAAATCTGAGCGATTAATAAGAAAATGAATCATTTTTTTTCTTTGCTTTAAGCAGAGTTATTGCCTTTTTAATTTGCTCACATTTCAGTAGCCCTGACTTTCGTTGCACCTTCATCTTGCTGTGCTGCAGTGTTCTTCTCTCATGTGAAAAATCAGCTGAAATAAGGACTTTATCTTCCCTATTAAGCAGTAATTGTTAACGACAGCCATAATACATCAGTAGGAGAAGCACAGGGCAGTTTGCTGTTAAGGCCACAATCGAGCATAACAGGGTAACTTGCTTACACCCGATTCCTCATTTGTGACGGTTTCAAAGCAAAATTGATTTAATACTGGTCTCAATATTACAGTCATATAATTTTGAAAAAAAGATTTCTCAACAATTTGTACAAGAAAATTGCCAAATCTTTCTCTGCCTAAAAAGCTTCCAAATACAACCACAAGCTCATGTGATGGGTTTGTAGAGCGGTCGGGGGGGTAAAGGACATTATTTATGTATCAAACTCATGACATGCCAGTCTGAACCAGTCCAGAACTAAGACCACCACTGTGAAGGGGTTAGACCATGTGGATTCACAGAGCAACAACACCACTCTGATATGAGGACTGTTGGGTAGGAGAGCACATGCAGAGAGGGAAACCACTCTACTGCCTTCATTAGAGGCACTGACGCTAATACGAAGAGACCAACAGAGGGGCCACTGCTCGCGACTAAAAACACACACACACACACACACGCGCACACGCACACACGCACACACAGGCACTGGAAATACGCCTGAACATATAAGTTTATGAAAAGAGTGTTCTTATACTCACATCGATGATGTCAGAGAGGTCGTGGATGTAATATTTGAAGACGCAGCTGTTGGTGGCTTCAAGCGCGAGCAGGTACTCGTTCCTGGCTTTGATGGCCTTCAGCCTGTTCTCTGTGTACTTTGCTTGTCTCTGATAGAAGAGAGAGAGAGATGGAGAGAGAGAGAGAGAGAGAGAGAGAGAGGGAGAGAGAGGAGGGAGAGAGAGAGAGGGAGAGAGAGGGAGAGAGAGAGAAAGAGAGTGAGAGAGAGAGAGAGAAAGAGAGTGAGAGAGATAGAGAAAGAGAGAGGGAGAGAGGGAGATAGAGAGAGAGAGAGAGATAGAGAAAGAGTGAGGGAGAGAGAGATAGAGAAAGAGAGAGGGAGAGAGGGAGATAGAGAGAGAGTGAGAGAGAGATAGAGAAAGAGAGTGAGGGAGAGAGAGAGAAAGAGAGAGAGAGTGAGAGAGAAAGAGAAAGAGAAAGAGAGAGAGAAAGAGAGAGAGAAAGAGAGAGAGAGTGAGAGAGAAAGAGAAAGAGAAAGAGAGAGAGAAAGAGAGAGAGAAAGAAAGTACAAAAGGGAAAAAATCAGAAGCATAAAAATTGGTGTGTAGAAAGAGAGAATGAAGAGAGAGAGAGATAAGAGGTGTTAGTATTGATTATGGATAAGAAGAAGAAGAGGAGGAGAACCGTGTTTGTGTGACAGGCCCCAGCTGTGCCAGACAAGGTTAGCAATAAGCCAGTCATGCACTCGTAAATCACTGATGAGAGAAACACATTATCACTGAGACAACAGGTGAAACATCTCTCCATTTCCCCTCCTCGTCCTCCTCACCTTCTCCTTCATCTTCTCGATCTTTTTGACGCTGGAGCGCCGCACAGGCTTCTCGTCGGCCTTGATGCTGGCCAAGGTGTCGGGGGAGCGCGGCGTCTGGCGGTCGGAGCGTCCCATCTGCTTCTCCTCCTGTTTCTCCGCCTCCTTCAGCTTGGACTCGGCGTTGATGCTGTCAGTGTTGTACATGTGGTATGTCTTCATCACCTGGGAACGGGGGGAGAGATGTGCAGGTGAATAATTAAGCACTCGCTTTTCCCATTGTGTCTCCAACTTTTAATTACTTGGCTCTAGATTGTAGGTGGAATTACAGCCGTCAGTATAATGAGGAGAAGGGAAAAATGAGGCTAAATACACAGACTTATTCTTTGTGTTGGTATTTATAAAATATTGCAGATGCAGCCTCTCCTAGTCTATTACACTCCACAGCTTTGACATGGTCATATGAGTTTGACATGAATAGTTGAACACATGAAACAAGTGTCAGAGTGCAGCGTCAGCCTCACTTCATTGACCACCAACCAGAGCCATCATTATACTGCTCTAACCCTTCCACATCGCTGCAGACAGACAGACACACACTGCTCTGTGTATGCAGGCGAGCATGTCTGCGTCACTCAAACCAGATCTATTTCTATCTCTTACTATATGCTATAATTACAGCATAAGACCTGTTTTTATGGGCCTGGCTGAGCTGAGACCATGCAGCTTGCTGGCTTGCTGCTCAGAGCTGTGCTGTGAGAGGACACACACACACACACACACACGCACACACACACACACACGCACACGCACACGCACACGCACACGCACACGCACACGCACACGCACACGCACACACACACACACTGCTTCAGTCTATCTGGCAGAACTATGGCAATGAGTAACCAGGCTGTATAGACCCTGACAGCACGAGAAGACCAAAATAACAAGACAAGATGATGAAATATGCGTGATCCAGATTCAAGATTGTCGGTTTGGTAAAGTGGTTAACTAAGCATGAGCGTGCAGGAAATTTTAAGTGACATTCACTTTGCTTGGTTAAGCATAATTTGTGTCACCAAGAGTCAACAGCCGTTCTAGCAGCTCTGTCAGGCCAAATGTAGGCATAGCAGTACTTTGCTACCAAACTCATTATGACAATGCTTACATTATTGAATATTGGTTAGCCTGATTACCTGGCTAACAAGCGCTTAAATACAAGTACAACTGAAGCTGTTCCATGTATGTACATCAGAGGCTTACAGACATTTAAATTCTGACATCATAGGTGTCATAGACCTCTAAACCTCTGACCTCTAAAGAAATTCTCACAATTTTTGCTTCTGTCAGCACAATCATCATCAGTGAGTTTTAACTTGTTGGTGGTTATTTTTCTGTAGATCATTTCAGGTTTTCAGTCATCGTTAAGACTTGTGTAAATCAGTGTACTTCTTGTGATGAAAGATACAACAGAAAACTCAAAGTACTTGGTCTTTTTTGATTCTCTGATTTTTTTAAATGTTCAAAATCTAAAACAAAAAAACGGCAACCAGAATTTACATTTTTAGACACTTCAAATCCATTATTGTTAACTGAAATCATAATTGGGCACAGTTCATCTTAAAAGGAACCTAAAAGTGTACAGCAAATTTCATTTCAATCAATAGGGAATTTTTTAGGGAATTTAACGCATCCCATAAATGTGAACCTGCTCATGGCACAAAGGGGGAGAGACAGCCAATCATTATGCTTCACCCTCTCGGGATCAGGAATTTATTTTTACAAAGATTTTTCAGCAATCAGTCCAAGAGTTGTTTATGTTTGAACCAAAGCAATGGTCAGACCAAGCAATGGTGATTATATCAAGCAAAGCTGCATCAGTGAATGGAAATCCTTAATCCCCAGCTGACTGCAGCTAAATTACCTCCTTTAATCTCCAAGTTAAGTTTTTGTTTATGTACAAAACTTTGTCTTGAATCTTAAAGATTATACAATCATATACATGTATTAAAGTACATAAATGTACCTGTAACTGTATACCAGCAATGTACTGTGCACGTAATGTTTTTGATTTATTCCGTTTTTAAAAAAAGGTGAAAAACAACTCCAGTGACAACCAGACTGCTAATCCTGACAACATAAGTGCAATAACCTTCTCCTTCAGATCAACACATCATTTTAGGTTCATATATTGTCAGCGGTGTCTCTTACCGTGTAAAGCTCATTAAGAACTTTCATCAGGTCCTCTTGCAGCTGCACACCAACCTCTTTACTCTAAAAAAAGACAGAGAGAAAAAAAAAAGATTGATGTGAAGCGAGCCTCGACCATTACCTCAGAGTCAATACTTTCAGCGTCCATTGTCCGTCCATCTTAGTCGTCTTAACCCTCTCAAGCGAAGAGAGCCAAACACATTTAGTTATGTGGTCAACAGACTGCCCCACCATCAGTCAAGACTAGATTTTTCTGGCTAAATGAGAGTGGAGGAGTCGCTGGCACAGATAAACGAGCAAGGCAGTAATGGAATCGACTGACTAAAGGAGGAAGATACAGATACTGATCTCTTCCTGTTGGCAGGGAGGGGAAAAAAAGGAGCGAGGCAGAGAGGATGAGTAAGATAGAGGGCAAGATGACGAAGTTACAAAGGAGAGACAAGAAGAGACAAAAAAAAGGGAGGACAAGGAGTAATATAGACTCTAACATTCTCCAGACAAAACTGCTGAGAGCCTCTTGTGATTGATGAGGAAGTAACACATACAGGAGTCAACTTCACAAGCACATATACGGTATACGCTATAATAATAACTTTATTTATGTAGCACCTTTTTAAAAACACAGGTTTACAAAGTGCTTTGACAAACAGCAAAAACAAGAACAAACTAAACTAAACACAGAAGAACATAAACAACAGCAAGAACATAACAAATGCAAAATACTAAAAATAATTAAATACAGTTCAACAGAAAAGAACCCAAAGTGCATGATACCCAACAGACATATATAACCAGACCATCATAAGAACCATCATAAGAACCATTATAAGAACCATCACAAGAACCATTATAAGAACCATCATAAGAACCATCACAAGAACCATTATAAGAACCATCATAAGAACCATCACAAGAACCATTAGAAGAACCATCATAAGGACCATCATAAGAACCATCATAAGGACCATCATAAGAACCATCATAAGAACCATCATAAGAACCATTATAAGAACCATCATAAGAACCATCATAAGAACAATCATAAGGACCATCATAAGAACCATCATAAGAACCATCATAAGAACCATTATAAGAACCATCATAAGAACCATCATAAGAACCATTATAAGAACCATCACAAGAACCATCACAAGAACCATCACAAGAACCATCATAAGAACCATCATAAGAACCATTATAAGAACCATTATAAGAACCATCATAAGAACCATCATAAGAACCATTATAAGAACCATTATAAGGACCATCATAAGAACAATCATAAGGACCATCATAAGAACCATCATAAGAACCATCACAAGAACCATCACAAGAACCATTATAAGAACCATCATAAGAACCATCATAAGAACCATCACAAGAACCATTATAAGAACAATCATAAGGACCATCATAAGAACCATCACAAGAACCATTATAAGAACCATCATAAGAACCATCACAAGAACCATTATAAGAACCATTATAAGAACCATCATAAGAACCATCACAAGAACCATCACAAGAACCATCATAAGAACCATCATAAGGACCATCATAAGAACCATCATAAGGACCATCATAAGAACCATCACAAGAACCATTATAAGAACCATCATAAGAACCATTATAAGAACCATCATAAGGACCATCATAAGAACCATCACAAGAACCATTATAAGAACCATCATAAGAACCATCATAAGAACCATCATAAGGACCATCATAAGAACCATCATAAGAACCATCATAAGAACCATTATAAGAACCATCATAAGAACCATCACAAGAACCATTATAAGAACCATCGTCAGAACCCCCAACAACACGAGCTGAGACCAAGAGGAGCAAAGATTTAAAAAGATGTAAGAAACTAAAAGAGCTAAAAGCAAATCAAAAGAGAACAGCAATAAGAAGGTAAGAGCAGGAAAAGAAATAGAAACAAGTGATTAGTGTGCTAAGTGTTAGTTATACACAAACACGCGTTCACGGCTGATCTTATGTATAATGTACATTTTAGGACTTTCCCATCTACTTTTTTTAATAATGATGCAAAATGAAGCATCATCTAGGAACCATTTATGTGCACACAGCGTCACAGAAAAATAATTGGCCTAACTTTAAAGCAGACAGGTAAGAGAAAACCAAGGGAGATTACAAAGGGGGGAATAAAAGAGGGGGAGCAATGAAAGTCAGATGAAAAAAGGATAAGGAATGCATCAGGAAAAGAAAAACAACAGATTTTGAGTACATGTTAAGCATCTGTCTCCTGCTGAAGGAGGGGAAATGCAAAGTGATGGAAGTGTAGAGAAGGTTCAGAGGTAAGTGAAGTAAAAAAAGGTGACATAAATTAAAGGTTGAGGTGACAGACGGTACAGGTAGCGAAATGGAAGGACAGCGAGGGAGAAGAAGATGTTTACACGCTGCGTTGGAAAAGTAAACATATTTAAAACTGTTTTCAGGGAGATTTACGGCGAGCGGTAAAGTCAGCAGCAGAGGTGAGAGGTGAGAGTTGTAGTGGGAGGAAGGCAGTGTCAGAGGAAGGGATTTATGGCAGGGCAGTAGAAAACAGAGGTAACAGGATAACTGACGTCGTCCCGCCCTCGTTCTTTAAAGTGCTGCAGGAGACACATATCAGGTGACAACAAGACAGAATTGCAACCAATCAAAAAGCAATCAGCCAAGGCTTAGCCCTCCTATCCATCAACTGTGGATCTTGACCTTTGCACCTCTCGTCATCTTGCCTGTGGTCACCTTGGCTCAGCATGGCCGCTAACAGGATGTAGCAACTAGCACACTTCATTAGCCCTGATGTCAGTGGTCCAATTGGGCTCATTAGTACTTCCTGTCCTTCAGTGACAAAATCTCAAAGTAGCATTTTCCCAAAGTGACTTTCCAATCTAGCTGTGATGAATGTGTTGAATTCTCTAGTATGAGCCGTGTGTGTGTGTGTGTGTGTGTGTGTGTGTGTGTGTGTGTGTGTGTGTGTGTGTGTGTGTGTATTTGGCCCCTGGCACTACTAGCATTCATGCCACTGACTGGAAATGTCGTAAATGAACTCATTATCTACTTAATTAGCCATCAGAGCACTCTCAGTGTTTATGCGTGCAGTCTGTTTACGACCCCGGACTTGATGGAAGCCACCCGCGTGCCAAAGTGAGTCCAGTGTGAAACAAATGGAAAATTAATGCCCATGACAGAACAAAATAGTGCGAAAAAAAGTGAGAAAGTGTGCTTGTTTGTTGGTCGATTATGTGCTCACGCTTACAGCCTTCAAATCTGACTGGGGAATACAGCTCAAAGAACAACCTATCAGGCTGTAAATCAGGTAGCCTTTGCTTCACTTTGCCCTAAACACACAAGACCTTCTATACTTGTGAGGACTCTCCGCCTACCACATTCTTTTCTTAAACCCCTATCCTTATCCCTTCTGTCTTTGATCCTTACCTTAAACGCTCCACTTGTTTTCCAGAACAAATAAAAGACAGATGTTAAATAAAAAGAACTACCAAACCGTTTTACATATTCACAAAACCCTTACAAAAAACAACAACAGTTTATTAGAATTAAGAGCACACAAACACTCAGTCAGTATCTCCCTCTGCCCCCTCTTTCTACCACATTTGCCTTAGTTCTCTGTTTTTTCCGCTCTTCCTCCACATCTCTCTTTTAGCATCTCTCTGCTTCGTCTCTTTTCGCTCAAACTACAAAGGCAGGGATCAGAGTATGCCAGGATGAAGCTTCTGTATGAACCACAGACGGCATATATTCTCCCGGCTCTGAAATTCAGCCGACTCGCTGTCAGTCAATAAATCAGACATGACAGAAAACAGATACTGGAGAGGATGGACGGACATGACAAGGATTCAGCTTATCACAGTATAGCTGATAGTGTCTTTTTTTAACCCACATTTTAGTACTGTACCCCTAAACAGGTACGTGATATAATGTACCAGAATGTTTTTTTTACAAAAGACAAAAATGTTATAAAGTCAAATCTTAATTCACTATATTAACATTATGGCCATTTTCCTCTTAATTCAAGCTCAGGATAGGAAGCTCATTGTTCTGTGATATCAAGAGGGACATCAAGCATCTCAAAATAAGACAACAGATTTGCTAAACACAGCTAGTATTTGACAACAGCTTATGCTAGCATTTACCAAACAAGCTAGCAAACAGAACCGTTAGCTAGACCTTTTTCCTTTAGTGTTGTTAAAACACTCTCAAAATGGTTATTTTAGCATTCAACTAATTTCTAGTAATAATAATAATAATGTTAGAAGAAACAACAGGAAAGGCAAAGTCTAGCTAACACAAACAAACGTTTATGTTAGCATTCAGCCATTTCTTCACTAAATGGCTGTATTAGCTTGAAAGTGGCACAGAGCTTTACTTTAAAGGTTTACATGCTCTTTAGTGTGTTTTCCAAGTGTCCTGTGCATGTTTAGGCACATCTATGTGCAAAAATTCAAGTCCGCGGAAACGCGGCTTCTCCTACGTCCTCTTGTTAGCTGTAGCATTAGCTGCATGTAACGCTCGGTTCTAGCCCCCCTCAATAAAAATTGCCAGTGTGACGTCTTGTCAGTGTGATATCACTGATCTAAGCCCATTGGCTCGTTGTGGCAAGCCCAGCAGCTCATGTTGCACGCCCATTAACTTCTGTAGCACACACACGATATGCCGTAGCCTGCGGTAGCACAGTAGTGTAAGGTGCTAATGCAGCTAAAGTGGCTGCATTGCAAATATGGTAAAAGGGGAGGGACATTTCCGAGAACCGTGCTGAGCGACTGACCAATTATGGCAGAGCCAACAGGCCGACCAATCATATCAGACTTGGTACACATGGGGACTCTGAACGTGGGCACTTCAGAGTCTTAGAGAGAGAGTCAGAAGCGAGCCGGTACATGGAGCAGCAGTACATGAAAACAGACACTTTAGAACTTTAGCTATTGTGAACATACTTTAGTAGGTACATAGATTAAATATATGAACCCAATAAAGGGCATAATATGACCTCTTTAAATATAGTCAGATGGCCTTGTGGATTTTAACTTTTTTATTGTTCATTTAGTTGCTTAATTTATTTTTTATGTGGAAATGGTAATGATTTGTCAGATTATCTTAAATTTAAAAGACTTACAAGCTGAAACAAAGCAGTTTGACTTTGTAAATGATACTTAACTTCTCACTCTGAGGGTGATGTCAGAGAAAAATGGTAGCTCTGTGAATGGCTCAACAGCTACATTATACACTGTATAAGTCGGAGGGATGTATGGATGGATGTATGGTGGCAAGATTGAGGGATGAAAGGATGAAGACTTGTTGGTAAGAGAGGGAAAAGTATGTGCTTGAGGTTGGACAGATGAAGGAGGACAATGGACTGGTGTTGGCTGAAGGGGGCACAATGTGAGGAAACCAGAGGGGTCGAGATGAATGAGAACGAGTAAGGTGTGTTTAAATGTGTTTGAAATGGAGATTGGTTGTGTTTGAGGCATGGTTGATTCCCTGAAGATTTTCGAAGAAAATGTTTTCTTTTAAAGCAGCTGTCAGTGTCTCTGTGTGTTACCTTCTTGAAGAGGCGTCCTGAGTCCTCGCTGATCTGTGCAAAGCGCGGGATGATGTTGTTGAGGTAGAGGTCGGACAGAGTGGCATGGTCGCGGCTCTCCCTCTTCACCTGAAGCAGCAAGAGGTTCCAGCAGTTCACAGGAGATAAAATGCTTTGCTCCTTCCTACACACACACACAAAGAAAGAGGGGACTTAAAATGTATGTAAGGACCTTCGAGCATCTTTTGAGATAAATGGCTATGATTACGTCCCTTTCATCTTCTAATTTCTCCTTTTAATCCTGCTGATAGATGTGAGCACACACAGGCACACAGGCCATACTTAATTCAAAATGTAGAGACAAGCATTCTGTAAAAAAAAGTCTTTACCCTAACAGTCTTTTCAGGAAGATGACACAGGGCTTTGGGATAAGAGACGGGGAGGGAATTAATGTTAATGCTAGACAGATTTATGCAAAAAACTCTCTCTCTCTCTCTCTCTCTCTCTCTCTCTCTCTCTCTCTCTCTCTCTCTCTCTCTCTCTCTCTCTCTCTCTCTCTCTCTCTCTCTCTCTCTCTCTTCTCTCTCTCTCTCCTCTCTCTCTCTCTCTCTCTCTCTCTCTCTCTCTCTCTCTCTCTCTCTCTGAAAGGGCCTGAAGAAAAACAGGCAGCTGTGGAGTTCACGGATACAACCCTAAGAACCTGAAACCAGGCAGGAAAAGAGGGAAGAGAGACAGACAGAGAGAAAAACTGGGCCAGGGGTCCACAGGTTGAAGGGGGGGGGAGCAGTACTGTGTGTGAAAATGCATGGCTATGGGACATGAATTTTTAGGCCTCTGAGCGAGTATAGGTAGTCTGAAGCCTCTGGTTGCAGGTAGTGCTTCCTAATGAGATTTGTATGCATGCTTAATACTACTTCACCCCACACACACACACACACACACACACACACACACACACGGCACGGTCAGTGAGCCAGCCCAAACAGGGGATTCAGCCAGGGTACAAAACACAGCAGGAGGAGGTAAGACTCCCCCCGCAGGCACAGCTGTCACAGAGAGACATAAAAGAAAAAAAGAAGAAGAGAAAAAGAAAGATTTAAAGACTGGAATGGTCCCATTAACAGTCTAATAGCTCAATACTGTTTCTTTGTGTTTGCGTCAAGAGCCATTAAAAGCCACTATACAAATACCCTCTCAGTGCCCTGCTCACAACACAACACAACACAACACAAGCCCTTTTTCAGTGTGTGTGTGCACAATATGTGTGCCCCCATGTCTGTTTGTTGTATGTGTACAGTATGTGTAATGGATGATCCATGGGTAAAATGGATTATGAGTGAGTGTAAGTGGATGAAAGACAGTCTTTGTGCTGTTAAGAGCAGCTTTAACTGGATACAGACAGAGCAAACACACACACACACACACACACACACACACACACACACACACACACACACACACACACACACACACACACACACACACACACACACACACACACACACACACACACACACACACACACACACACACACACACACACACACACACACACACACACACACACACACACACACACGGGTCAGAAAAAGTAGAACAGTGACCCGAGCATACACAAGGTCAGACAGACAGAGAAAGTCTTTGACCGAGGGGTACAGATTGGGGGGTAGTGTCTATATGTGTGTGTGTTTGTGTGGGAAAGTATGGTCTGATGAGATGAGTCATCCACAGTGATGTGATATGCTGGTACTGGCTGTCACTGCTCACATGGTCAGATGACTAACTGAGTAACAAGAATGATTTCAAGGAAGAGACACAAAGAATCCACCTCAAGCGTTATTTCAAAAGAGCCAAACTCAAGTCACGTTTTGTGCTAAAGTTAACAAAAACGATCATGCAGACACACACGTGTGTTTCATCTCCAACTTCTCTCAGCTGTCTGTTTCCTTCCCTGCTCATCTGTCTGCAGCCCTTGCACAACAAGCAGCTCCACAGTTCCTCTATTTGCTCGACAAGCGTCCTCTCTTCCCCCCATGTGACATGTCACCTTCAGCCCACCGGTGATCGCAATGGCGACAGCGCTGCAACTGAACTGAACTCTGCCTCTCTCTGACCCCCTTCGCTATCACAAGATAAACACTGAAATGTCGCCGTCCCCTCTGAATGTCACACGGTGCACGCTTTGGAAACAGAGTCAGTCCTGGGGTCAGGTGCTGCCCAGTGACTCACACTGGGAGGGAAAATGCTAAATGGTCGTTTACATTCAGGATCAAAACACACAGCATTTAACCGGGGCATCACTGCTGGCGGTTTCCTACAACAGACACAGACTGAAAGAGAGCTTGGGTCCAGATGAAAGGCTAGGACACAGCAAGATGTTTGAACAAGACTTCTATCAGTTAACTTAAGGATGAAGAAACAGGTTTCACACATTGTATAGAAAACAACAATTAGAGCTGGGAATATATTGTTATCTGTATTTAAAAAAAATATTTTCCATATGTGCTATAAATTCATTTTAAAGCTAGTTTGCTTGAATACTGTATTAAAAGTCAAAGACAGGATGTGATATTGAAAGACACTTTCAGTAATGACAGCTTAAAATTAGATTCTCCAGGTTCAATTCAATTCAAATAGTGATTCTCTTTCATTCTGCTTCTTATTGAGTTTTGTTTCCACTTCCTGGCACATATTAGAATCATTATTGAAACCAAAGCATGGCGAAAGAATACAGACTTATTAGATTTAGGACGCCATGAAACAGCAGTTCATCATGTGTTTTTTATAATTCTATTTTTAGCATGAGGCTAAAAAACAATGTTTCATCTTTCCAATCCCAAGTCAAAACTTGTTTTGACTTGGGATTGGAACTAATAACGGGCAGTCATCATTCCATCAGTTAGATTGTTTTACCTTATTGCACAGACGGCTGTACTGTACCATATAAACTTCATCCCTGCATTGAATATGTTTTTACCAATTAATCTTTTAAAAAGCTGAACTGCTATGATATGTGAGTTTGTTGGTCATTTCCAGAGCTTTTAACAAAGAAAAAATGAAGAGCAGGAAAAGCACAGACCGGTTTTAAACTGTTTCATCCAGGACAGATGCAAAACAGCCATTTTCAGTTAACATGTGGTCATGGGAACCTCAGATCTCTAAAAGCACATTGAGTGAATATGTCAATGTAGCAATGTGTTCTGAAAGCAAGTGCAGCTTATTAGCAGAGATACTGGCCCGATACTTAGCATAAGGCCAGGCTTTCAATCAGGGTGCAACTTGTGAGGGCCAAGGACCAAGCACTTTTTCAGCCTGCATACAGATGCACATAAACACACACACAATACAGTTAAACTGTGTAACCCCCCCCCCCCGCCCCCCACTACCAATGCCTTACGCAGTTTAGCAAATAGCGGGAATACCAGAAATCTCCACGGGATTCAACACACGCACATACATAACCCTTACTCCCCACATTGCTCAGAGCATAGCCACAGACACACACCAACACCTAGATTCAGACGTACACACACAAAAACACACACGCACACAACCGGAAAATAGCTGAAATTCCAGTGTGGCACCCGTGCTGAGCAGCAGCAGATGCGGGGAGAGACTGTTACATACACAGATGTTGCAGGAGAGAGGCAAAAAAAAAAAAAGAGAAAATGAGAGAAGGGGAGAAAGAGAAATAAAAGTTAAGATTGATCTGTGTGTTTCAATCACACTTACACAGTGTTTGTGTAAGTGTGTGTGTGTGTGTGTGTGTGTGTGTGTGTGTGTGTGTGTGTGTATGTGCCTGTGTAAGTGTGTGTGTGTGTGTGTGTGTGTGTGTGTATGTGCTGTGTAAGTGTGTGTGTGTGTGTGTGTGTGTAAGTGTATGTATGTGTGTGTGTGTGTGTGTGTGTGTGTATGTGCCTGTGTAAGTGTGTGTGTGTGTGTGTGTGTGTGTGTGTGTGTGTGTGTGTAAGTGTATGTATGTGTGTGTGTGTGTGTGTGTGTGTGTGTGTGTGTGTGTAAGTGTATGTGCCTGTGTGTGTCTGTGTCTGTGTAAGTGTGTCTGTGTAAGTGTGTCTGTGTAAGTGTGTGTGTATGTGCCTGTGTAAGTGTGTGTGTAAGTGTGTGTCTGTGTAAGTGTATGTGTGTGTCTGTGTCTGTGTGTGTGTGTCTGTGTCTGTGTAAGTGTGTGTGTGTGTGTGTGTGTGTCTGTGTAAGTGTATGTGCCTCTGTGTGTGTGTGTCTGTGTCTGTCTAAGTGTGTCTGTGTAAGTGTGTCTGTGTAAGTGTGTGTGTCTGTGTCTGTGTAAGTGTGTGTGTGTATGTGCCTGTGTAAGTGTGTGTAAGTGTGTGTCTGTGTAAGTGTATGTGTGTGTCTGTGTGTGTGTGTGTGTGTGTGTGTGTGTGTTTGCCCCCTAGCAGAGCAATAAATGTTTGATGAAATTGTTCTCCTTTGGAAGGCTCTGAGCACAGAGAGAAATTAAGGAAGGAGGCCCTAAAAGAGGTCATGGTTAACTGGAAGTCAGAGAAGAGAAAGAAGAGAAAACAGACAGGGGAAAGTTTTGGTCTTTTTGGAAAATCCAGTGCACAATGTCAGCATCAGTGTTTCATGTTCAACAGAGGGCTTTCAAAAACATATGTAACAACACAAGCTGAATAGCAACGAAACAGTGCTTTACACACATCTCTTTTCTCTGCTTTTTCTTATTCTGCACCAGACTCTTGGAACAACATACAGCATCTTCTTGAGGGAAATTAACTTTAACCTTTTGGGCATTTTAGAAACCTGATTTTAAGCCTCCCAACCTCTGTTTGTAACTGTTTTACGTAAGTGTCTTTATTTATTGCAGTTTTGTACTCGCTTAATTATCTTAGTCCATTTTAGACTTTTGTAGACTGATTTTAGCAGTCTTGTATTATCTGTCTCCTGTTTTTCTTTTGATTTAATGTCTGTTTTCTATGTCATTGTAAATGAGGGTTGCCCCTCAATGATCTTTCAAGTATAAATAAAGGTTGAATTGAATTGAATTCTCCTCAGTTTCAACTTGCATCATGTGCTTCCACACAGGCTACTGAAGCTGCATGTAAGAACGAGGAAGTATATCACCACTGTGAGAAACATAAGCGATGACCGACGTACAGCTCTACCACACATTATGACACACTTGTTGTGGCAACTCGTGTCCCTGTGTGCTATTTGAAGAAACACAGAGCTGCAGTAATGAGGTATTAATGATACTGCAGTAATGATCCCAGTGCCCTACAGTCACTCACTCTAGATCAGCAGAACATATTCACCACTAAACATATTTCCATCACAAGGGTGTTTGCCAGATGTTCAGTCACTTGTTCTGGAAGGTTACACTTGTGTGTTCTAGCTCAAAACTCCTCTGCAAGAAACCTCCCTCCTCACTACACAAGGATGAAATTAAGATTTTTAAAACGTCATCCCACATGACAGATCTTGTGCCACAGGCTAGAAAACGTAGGAGCGAGGACACAAGAAGGTATATTTAGTTAAGACCGAAGCACCCCTTGAGTTCATTCACCTATGCTCGCACAAAATGTGTGATAGTGTGTGTGTTCTTTTTTTAAGAGCTTAACAAGCAGCTCAGCAAATCTTTCCCAACAGTGAAACAGACTGCTCTCCTCCAATGAAAAACACCAAATACATTATACAAGAACACACCCTGCTGTTAGAGCTGATGAGCTCCAGTGTGCTGTATGTGTCAGAGGGAGAGGGAGAGAGGAGAGAGAGAGAGAGAGAGAGAGAGAGAGAGAGAGAGAGAGAGAGAGAGAGAGAGAGAGAGAATCCCCATTTGGACGAGGTTATACACACAGCAAGACTCTGCAAAATAGTCAGAGCACAAAATCACCACCTGGCAGTCCTGGCAGGTTTACACACACAAACGAATAGATCGTCAGGACTTTACTGTTTGAAACTAGAGTGCTTATAAGATGTATGCTATTAATAATCTGATTTAAACGAGGAAGTTTTGAAATGATGCAAGTCTGTAGACTTATACGCTCAGTTCCCTCACCCCCCCCCAGCAATCTTTCTGTTTCATTTCTTTGTGTGTGTCTACTTCTCTTTTCTCAGGAAGGAAGTTAATGCTCTCAAAAGTACTGCACCCTATCTAAAGGGATAAATAAGGGTTTTATATGTAATCTAAATGTACATAAGAATCTATCCTTTATCTAGGGCACTTGACCTACATGAATAGAATCTGTGACATCATCAGAATCAGCTGCCAAGTGTTGTGGTGCTTTGTATGTGTGTGTGTGTGTGTGTGTGTGTGTGTGTGTGTATGTGTGTGTGTGTATGTGTATGTGTATGTGTATGTGTATGTGTATGTGTGTGTGTGTGTGTGTGTGTCTCATACTTGAGTAAATGGTCCTTGGTGCTACGCGTCTTGGTGAGGAACCTCTCGGCCAGCTTCTCCAGGTTGCGGCTGTAGTCCACCTCAATCTCGGCTTTCTTCCTGAAGAAGTCCTGCAGGTCCTGCAGCAGCTGCACCCTCAGCTCACACTGCTGGTCCAGACACTTGAGCTGCTCCACCAGCTGGGCGCGGATCTCTACAAGAGGGAGACAGAGACACAATTCAGGTCAATTTTTCATTGCTAACTTTATTATTCCAAACACAATCTCAGAGTAATTAATACCTGTGATTTCTCATATTGCATCGCTGACATTAACATGTGTTCCATAGCAATGTGTCATCAAGTCTAAAGCAGTTTCCTTTCTTCCGCTGATGTGGATGGAGTCCAGATCAAGTGAAACACCTGGCAGAGCTCAAACACATCAGCCTGGAGAATTGGACAAAATCCATCCTCACTCCCACCAGTCCTTCAAGCACAGACTGCTGAGTGTTTGTGTGTGTGTGTGTGTGTGTGTGTGTGTGTGTGTGTGTGTGTGTGTGTGTGTGTGTGTGTGTGTGTGTGTGTGTGTGTGTGTGTGGTGTGCAAGTGTGACGCATCAACTGTGTGCATGCCATCACTTCTCCTCTTCCACACACATCCAAGACATCTCCAGAGGCAGTCATTTATCCCCGCTTATCACTTCTCATTTTCCTCCTGCATCCTTCCCCTCTCCCTCCTCCATGTTGCTCTCCAGTCTGGCCTCAAATTAATAGAGTGCACTCAGGGCAGACACACACACACACACACACACACACACACACTCAGAAACCACATTCAATCACTCGCTCCAACAAAGTCCGTCCCAATGCAGTTACTCTCGACTTGGACGAAACAAAGCAACAATTAGCACACGCTTTACACACCCGAGGATGTGCACCGCACATGATGATGATAAGCTGGATCAGAGCTGACAGCTGACAGATTAATGCTATGCTCTCTTAGCTGCCTGCCAATGCTGAGTAGACAGCATCATTTTATAGAGTAAACAAACAACACACACTTTCCAATTGCTGAACCCATCTACGTCTGTCTTACCTTTACAGCGCTGGCCGAAGAGAAAGCGGATGGTTTTGTCCTCCATTTCGACGTCCTATGCATACACTCATTCAAACACAGCACTCACAGACAAGGCAGAGAGTTAGCCGTCAGTCCAGCCGGCTGTCAGCGACTGTTGATGCTGCCTTTGTGTTCAACAGCTGAGAGCGCAGTTTCTCGTTACCACAAAGAGAAGTGGGATATCTAAATGTGTCTGTGACCCACCCCCTACACAGTGTCTCACACTTCTCTCTCACTCGCTTATAAAAACAGACCTCAACAATTTGCCTCTAGCTGGCGGCTGCATGCATGTGCTCACAGTCATTCTTTACAAATTAAAAGGCCAGAACAGAGGAGGACACAAACACTCACATTACCCAGCAAATAAATGCACACACACACAACCTGTGTATGCACTTATGACCTAATGTGGGTATATGCTTTGACAACATGTGTTATTGACTTGTGGTCCATGTGTTACATGTGTGGGTGTATGTGTGTGTGTCTCAATGATGGGCAGTGAGTCAGAAACCTTCTAAAGGCTGCAAAAGAAAACCTCAAGATGGTGGCTCTTGTAATTAGTCGACATATGACAACAACGCACACCACATGCACAAACACTTCGACATAGAACGAGCGCTCCTATCCATGAGGAGCTCAGGAGGGTGACAGAAAGCGTGCCGTAAGGTAATCTGTGGGTTGCAGCATCCCACTTCTGTCCCATGTGACCCCAATGTTTACAAAGCAGCAGGTTTAATAGTGACAATTAATTGAATAAAGTAGGCCTAGCCTTTCAACATATTCACATTTCAGACGTTTTTTTTCTGTAGTCATGATCAAGCTTAAGTTCTGTTGAAATGTCACACCCATGTGTTCCAGGCTGCTGTTGGCTAAATCTACAACTCATTAGCTATCTTCAAACGCTAATGTTTGTAACCACTTCCTAGCTAACTTTACTGTTTGGTAGTGATACAATTTTTAGTAGGATAAAATGCCAAGCTAACATTATTTTACATTAGCTTCTGTTTGGTTAAGCAATTAGCTTCCTTACAAGCTAGGCTAGGCAAAAAACTCAGCTTGTAAAAAAAAAGTTAGATAAGAGGAAACTTACGGCTGCCCTCATCTCGAGATAATCTCTCTTCAAAGTTCTTTTCGACTTTCCCTCGAGGTACTTGTCGACTAAATCTCGTCGAGGGCAGGTCTCGTCTTATTATTCTTGTATTATCAACAAATCCAAATGGTAACATTAGGTAGGACCTGGTTGATGTTAACATCAGCTCCTTTCTAACATTAGCTACTGGGTTATTGAGAGTGTACTTTATCTTGAAATATGGCCTCCAGTTTGTTTATTATTTGAATATGGCCAACTTTGCTTTGAACCCCTCTTAGGACACTAACGGTTAAATTGGATGAAGAGTTAGTCCAAGAGCCCTCAACTCTATACCTTGTTAATACTGGAGGTTTAAATGAAGAGTTCTTCAGGAGAGGAGTGTTAGCTTATATACAGGAGCTACAGCAAACAACATCTGCTGTTGAGAACAATCAATGCAGGTCTTCCTTTAGGCCTCATCCCTCTGTAATGGTCATTGTTCTCATGAGCCAGTAAGAAGTGGGACGTGAACAGGAATCTGACGCCTCCAAACCAACCCCTACAGACCAGTCACATTTTCCAGGCAGATGAGTGCAGGTCTTGTAATCGGGCTCTGGGATTCTACTTTACTGATGCTCTCCTTTTCTTTCTTCCTCCTACTCTGTCTGTGGAGCTAAGGGCTGTCTGGCTCTGTCTGCACAAAGCTTTTCCCAAACACTTTTCACTCTTTCTTCTTTTCCTGCACAACAACATGTCCAGTGTTGATTCTGATGGCCTTTTTCTTCTCTAAGATGTTTATTGTTTTCCTGTTTCAACTCGACTCAGTCATAGAAGCCAACTGTTGGTTTGTTTTGGCCCTGAGTGAGTGGGATCATGTGTACCCTCCATACGTCTGTATTTCTTGCCCAATGTCTTTTTCTGTTTCCAATCTGCCCCTCCTTAGCATCTATTATTGATTAGTTTGCTTAGTCTGACCCAGAAACCGAAAAAGAAAAACAGAAAGATGTTACCAAACTAGAATGGCATTACCACCATAATCAATGCCTGCAGTTAATATCGCTGGAGGCAGAGGCTGAAGGCAGGGTGAGACTCAGACGTGTTTGAGCATAGGAATGAGCGAACAGATGCTCAGAAGGGAATACAACTAGAAAAAGGAAATCAAAATGCAGCAGCTTTGGTCTGTTGAGCTGGAAGCTGACAGAAATGATGCTAACCCTGGATGCTGGCCTAGATACAGGAGCCACACATGCTGCTGCGAGCACTTGTTATACCTGGAAACACCCTAGGCTATGGGCAAAACACACACGCATACACACACACACACACACACCGCAGGGCTGTGACACTGCGAGTCCAAGCTGTCACTCTGAGCTGTTTGAAAGGCAGCTATCCAGCCCTACTCCTGTAAAGCCCCATCCCAGATCTGTCCTCCTCAATTACTGGACTCGCTTGCAGAGACACATAAAAACATGCACGCACACACATGGCAAATGTTCACAAGTAGTTGTGATGGGTGTTGGAGACAAGGTTTAAACTGGCTGGACAAGGAGGGTGAGGGAGGCAATGAACAAGAGAGGAAACATCACAGACACAGATGCCCGGTTTAATGACTATTTAAAGAATAATAGTGCTTTATTAAGTCTTACTTTCACAGAGTCAATTAAATCCTCACGTGTGAATGCAAACAGCCACATTGTTCACCCCATCTTTATTCTGTCTTTCTTCCTGCCAGCCTCTAAAAGTAAGCTGATGTGTGAACGCAGTAGGATAATACCAGTGTTCAAGAAAATTCCCAATTGGGATCTTTGCGAGCATTATTAAGTTAAAGGGTCTGACTCGTTTGCTACGACCTTCATCCTTGATAGGCTGTAAACTTTTCCCTGTGACTTTTGCAGTGTCCTTTCTATGCCATACCCCACCTCATGAGTGAGGGTCATGTGAGAAAGTGTCAGTGGCAGGCAGATTTTCTACAAGTTGTGAGAAGTGCATGTTTGAAAGGGTAAAAACAAATAAAAAATTCCAAGCATTAGTTGCTTAAAAATGAGATAATCCTTGAAATGCAAGCCTCTCTGCCAGCGTTTGGTTTTAAAGCTTTTTTTTTACCTGTGCCAGGTAATCAGTGAAAACAGCGGGGAACAGACACACCCACAACCTCTTTCAACAGTTAACTTGTTCTGAGTACAACCAGGAGCTACCGGTAAGTATTACCTGCTCTGTTTGTGTTCCTGTGTGTGCATTTTGAGCAGGCACGCTGCACACTGTGTTTATGCAGTGAGGCCTGGTCTCTGTTGCTCCGGGGGTTGATACTGCAGCACAGAGTGGAGAGCAGAAGAGGAGGGGGGTGGAGGGGAGTAATGGTTTTGAGTTGTACCACTGTGAGCTCATACTATTGTCCTCAGAAGAATGAAAGAAGAAAGAAGAAGAAAGAAAAGAACTGAACACAGTTTAAAGAGTGTGTGTGTGTGTGTGTGTGTGTGTGGGGGGGGGGGGGGGGGGGGGGGGGCACTGCGTCACTGTGAATAATGTGTCCATTCATCCCTACACACACAGGAAGAGAGGACAGAGAGACAGGAAGTCAGTCGGACTGGTTCATGCGAGTAGGGAGCACACAGTTAGGGGAGTCATACTAAAACAACCACAGGAAGCACGTGTGTGTAAAGACGGGCTGCAGCAGGATGGGGGGTTGGACTGAGGTGTGTGTGTGTGTGTGTGTGTGTGTGTGTGTGTGTGTGTGTTTCTCCCAATGAAAGGGCCTGAAGAAAAACAGGCAGCTGTGGAGTTCACGGATACAACCCTAAGAACCTGAAACCAGGCAGGAAAAGAGGGAAGAGAGACAGACAGAGAGAAAAACTGGGCCAGGGGTCCACAGGTTGAAGGGGGGGGGAGCAGTACTGTGTGTGAAAATGCATGGCTATGGGACATGAATTTTTAGGCCTCTGAGCGAGTATAGGTAGTCTGAAGCCTCTGGTTGCAGGTAGTGCTTCCTAATGAGATTTGTATGCATGCTTAATACTACTTCACCCCACACACA